CACTGCTTGGAATGTTCCACAGTATGGCATTAAAAAGTTCTACCATACATTTATTCAAATACAGGTGGTTTTATAGCTCAGAAATGCCTAGAAAAACAGGCATTCTGACTGTGAGTGGGGTCGCCTCTCCACAGATCTGACTTGTAACTTGGTCTGGTTTGGTCTCCATGAAGATAGAAAGGTTTAAAGCCATACTGTGAAACTTTCCAGACAAAGCAATAACACCTTCATGGAGAAAAGCATTTGACAGACCCCAGAGAAGTTACACAATTTTTACACAAGTTTTGCTTCATTCGTGCGTGACAATACACTCTTTTACTCAAGAGATGATTTTTTCTTTTTCTTTTTAAATATGCAGTGGCGTCAGACTGGAGGGGGTAAAGGGTACTATTTACCCAGACCCTGGAACATGGAGGGGCCCTTCACAGTCACAATCAATAATATGCAATTTTCATATAGAGCAGTGGTCCCCAACCTTTTTCATGCTATGGACCAGTTTTATATCATACAATATTTTGCAGACTAAAACAGGACTGTTTTAGTCCTGTTTTAGTCCTGGTTTTAGACCTGTTTTAGATCTGTTTTAGACCCTGTTTTAGATCTGTTTTTAGACCTGTTTTAGACCTGGTTTAGTCCTGGTTTAGACCTGGTTTAGTTCTGGTTTAGTGGTGCAGCCCACGCAGCGTACAGGAGGGAGAATGGTCAGCTCTGGGACAGTAGGACGCTCCACGTGAGTTTGGGGGGGGGGGGGGGGGTTTCGTCTTTTCGCAGCCCGGTACCAAATGACCCACGACCCGGTATTGGTCCCCGGCCTGGGGGTTGGGGACCCCGATATAGAGAACATATAACACAGGCCCACCAAGATGATTTGTACCTCAGATTTTTGTACTACACTACACTACACTACTACCACTATGTAACTATGTATATACAACTTGAAGTACCAAAGGTGTCCAAAAACACTGAAGACTATCTGCATTGGAAATTCTAAGATGGACTTGTGATGCAAAATCAACTTTAAACCATGTTATAGTTGTTTTCCATTTTCATTTACCCCCTCAAAGCTTTATTTAGTGATTCATGCATGCTTGAGTAATATTTATCATTCAACACATCATTTCTTTCACTGGTATACACCCACTACTCCGTACTTATTTCATGCTCCAATTCAGTTTCAATTTTATTTACAATTTATCTTGTAGTGTGGCAGACTTTAAACCTCCACTGCGTGATCTTTCTGGTGTAGGGTCTGATAACTAATTGCTTCCATGGAAATAGTATTGCGTAGCCTGAAATTTTCCATGGAATAAGCATGCATTTATTCATTGTGGGTGTTTCTATTGCTCAAAAATACAAAAATTCCTTCTGTGAATAGGGGCAGCTCTCCACAGATCTGAACTGTAATGTAGCGTAGTGCTGTAACGTTCTTGTCTCCCTTGTGATGGACAGGTTTAATCTTTCCTGTGGAATAGGCGTGTGTAAAAATATCTAAATATCGTATCGTTTAATGTGATAATACAGGATTGATATCGTGGGCTGCTGTTTCGATATATATAGCCAAGAGTATTTTTTTGGTGTATTTTACTAAATTATTTTGTTAAAGCGCTACAGTTTTGTTGCTTGTTTAGAGGAAGGAAACTTGTTTATGCGACACATTTGACATTTTCACTGTTTTGATGATTAAAATGTTTGTGTTTCATATGAACTTTGCACAAAAAGACTTTTAGTATCACAACAATGATTTAGCAATTATTTTTTATTGAACTGTATCGAATCGATTTGAAATGTATCGTATCGAACCAAAAGTGCACTGTATTGAGATATGTATCGTATCGTGGCCTATGTATCGAGGTATATATATCGTATCTGCAACTTCTTAACCCAACCATACTATGGAACATTCTAGACAAAGCAATAACATTTCCATGGAGACAAAGAGGTTGCAGCCCCTCCACTAGAAATGTTACACAGTGCACCTTTAAACAGGATTTAAAAAAAGACTAATCAGAGACTTTTTATAAGGCTATTACTGGTTTACTCTAATATAAACAAAACTAGATTAGAAATTACAAAAACTAAAAAAACAAAACAAAAAGAAACTGCTCTTCTAGTCAAAAGTGGCGCACAATTTGAGAACCACCTACAAGAAAAAACAAACAAGCATGTATCCAAACATTTTACTATTCAGTTTCTCACCACGTTGTTAGTAACCAATCTAGAGCAGCTCTCCTTCGGTAAACATCTATGGCATTCCTCCTTTTGTTTTGATGACGTGACTTTTAATGACAGACTCCTCTAATCTACAACATGTGTTTTCCCGCTTAAATAAACAACTACAACACGCTCTTATCCACATGGGCTAACACCAGGCCCTATCTGCTTTCAAAACACTCAAACTTTGACTTCTCCCTGCTTTTTTCCTTGTTATTGAAGTTAAGAAAATATAACGGATATGCAGAGAGGGGGATGTAAGACAATACGTAATGGTTAAAAGGGGGAGTATTGTGCAAAATAGAACAGCAAAAACATGCCTGAAGTGGTTTTAGATGTCATCCATGTATGTTTGTCCAATGCTTAGTCCACAAACCTATGTCACCCACACTCCCACGCGACAATTCTCCGTAAATATACAAAAACATGATACAAAACTGTACACAGCAACTTGGCAAACCTGATGTGATGTGCAGCAATTTCATTAGGATGCATGCTGATTGTGTTGGGATAATGCTCTGAAGGGGAGGGAGATTCAGAAACTTACAAAACATATTAATACATTGTTTGCAGTAAATATAGCATTTAAAAAACAATAAAAGTAACATGATGCTCTAAATATGTTATGTGTTAGCAGTTAATGCCCCATTGAAGCAAAATGCCTCTTTTAAATCATCTCCTGAGTATTATTTTAAAAAATACTAATACGTTGGAGAGAAGTACCACTCCTGTCAATACACCAGAAATGTTTGTAGCTCAAATCAACCTACCTTAGTCTTTGATATTGGTTTAGACTTGGTATCAATTCCTTAGTTCGATTCTTGCTTGAAAGTAAAAGAGGAAGATAAAAAAAATAAAAATAACTCTAATTCATTAAAATAACTCAAAATTCTCTGACTATTTGTGATTATTTACAAAAGAAGTAGTCTCCTGTTGTCTCCTCTTAAAGTGAAAACACATTGACCTCGGCTGCTGCTCACATGTGGGGCAGGTGGTGGGCACAGCCATAAAAACCAAGAATAAACCCAAACACTGCTACAGTTCCTCTCCATGTTTGTTTACATGTGACAGATCAGGCTGAGGCTCAAGGCAAACAAACAAAACAACCAAAAAAACAAAAAAAAAGGGAAAGAGACATTAAATGAGAGAGAATGAGAGAGAAGAGTGCAGATTGAAAATATTTCAGTCATATGCAGGTAAACAGAGCAGTTTTGAGCCTGGATTTAAACAGAGTCAAAGTAGAGGTCTGTCTCACATGTTCAGAAAGACTGTCCCAGGTTTTAGCTGCATGAATCTAAAACGCTGACTCCTCGTGTTTAGTCCTGACTCTGGGCACCAGCAGGAGGCCGGTCCCTGAGCTCTCCAGTGTGCAGATGGTTCATGTTGCACTAACATGTCAGAGATGTACTTTGGTGCTCGGCCATGGAGAGACTTGTACACAAGCAAAGCCACTTTAAAATCTCTGAGCCACAGGAGCCAGTGCAGAGACTTGAGCACAGGACTTATGTGCTTGTACTTCCTGGTTCGTGTCAGGACCTGAGCTGCAGTGTTCTGAACGTATTGCAGCTGTTTTACAGCTTGTTTGGAGAGGCCAGTGAGCAGGCTGTTACAGTAGTTTGTCTCCTACTGGAGAGAAACACATGGATACGTCTCCCCAAGTCTGCTTTAGACAGTATGCCTTTGATATAATATAAATGGACATAGCTAACCTGCTAGCCACCACAGTCCAAATAGGAGGTGTGCATGGAGGCACTTCTGGTTCTATCAACTCCAGTTGACTTTACAATGAGAAATTGTCACCCCTCTCTGTAAGTGCTGTGGTGAGCCTGGTCATATTGGTCTTAAAATGTTCATATTAACCCATTCTACACAATCCTAATGTTTTTATTTTGTTTATAAATTCTGGCTACAAAATTCACTCCTATAGCGCTAGCCTCATGCGCTTCATTTGACTGGAGCAGAACGCTATGGGTGATGTCACAGTCCCTTTGTCCACTTCTCTACACAGTCTATGGGACTAACAGAGTCTGCATGTTTGTTTACATGTGATGGATCAGGGAAAGGCTCTACTGACCAAAGGAGGAAGCGTCTTTTCCTCCTTGTAATTTCTGTGGTTGATTCTGTGCACTGCAACACTTGTTTAGTCAAACGGAAGATATGTCTTTCTACACTGTTGGTTTGCCTTATTAAAATATTGTGAAAGTGAACCATATTTATCTGAGAAAGTGACATAATGTTGTAACTTTGGTCCCCAATCAAACTCCCAAGTCCACTTCAGTTTGTATTGTGAATGCATCCATATCTTAATCTAATCATCTGCTCTTAATTTGCTTTGTTAATACTAGATTTGTTCTGATTTAGTCCCGGTTTATTGTTTTCACAGTTGAACATACAAGGAAAAAATGTTGAGGCATTTCCAGACATAGTGTTATGTCATGGTTGTGTTTTTACTTTTTCTTTTCATTTTTACAAAGTAGATTTCTTGTAAGGTAAAATTTAAAAAGCAGTGGCCCTAATAATGAGCCCTGAGGCACCCCAACAATATCACAAAATACAATGTTTTTTTGTAATTTTTAAATATTTTGTTTGATAGTTGAAGTACTAGTAAAAGTAGAAGATAGTGCTTGAAGAAATTGATTTCATTTCACACTTATCACATTTTCACTTTCCCACTTCAGAATTTCCTTCTTTTACCTATACAAATACAAAAAACATCTTGTGACAACTTAAGGAGCCTTTTCAGACCTTTAACTATAATATTCCCATAGTTTGATGTTTTGTTCTTGCAGGACATGTCCTCAATGGAGGGCGAGTTGGAAATTCTTCTGGGAGAGCTGCAGATCAAAATGAAAGGTGTGTCCTCTCTCTCTCTTTGCACAGTGTTAAATATCCCACAGTGCTTTGCGGGTTATCACTGGTTTTATAATGTAACTCAAACTCAACATGTGTTTTCACTCAGGTCTGATCGGCTTCGCTCGGCTCTGCCCCGGAGACCAGTACGAGGTGAGAAAAAACTGCAAATCACAAGAACAATGAGGTTAAGACAGATGATTTTGTCCCCTTAGATACATTAAATACGTACTCTGCATTTGACCCGCTTTAATACTTCTGGGGCAGTGTGACAAAAGAAGTGGCTAACCTCAAAGTAGCACCCAGGGATCTTTTTAGAGCCAGGACCATGGTCATGAATACTGCTGGAGGATCTATTCGGGTTTATGTGGAAAAGAAAGTGGAGAAGAGTCACTAAGACAAAAGGAGAACATGGAAATCTCACAGGAACTCCTCACACTGTCTAGGAATCTGGGATATTTGGACAAGACTACCACATGCAAGTGCAGTGTACATCTTGAAAACATAAGTTGAAGGATGTCCAATTTTTTTCCACCAAAGGCCACATATTGAACCATATTTGAAGGTGAAGGTTAATACAGTGAGTCATTCAAATATGCTAACATTTACACAGCATTGATAGAGCCACTGTACCTTGGAACATTAATGATAGGTCTTCATCACTACAATTTTATCGAGGTTATAGAGCTAGAAGTACTACCTTGAGGATTGAGAACTGCCAAAAATTGATCTGAAGGCCACATTTTCCCCTCTGTCATAGTTGGTGTAGGTGAAAATGGTGAAAACTTCATTTCGGTGCTGTATCTCAAGCACCTACTGCCAGCTTACTCCTTGTCATCTTGGCCTACGTTATCAGAGGTATAATACTCCCTACAACAGAAGCATGGCCAGACTGAACTGCATTAGAGCCTGTTTACACGAGAATGCTTGTGGGTAAAAATGACAAAATATTTTATCGAAAGTGCCTTTCGTTTAGACAGTGATGGTGTATTGGAAGCTTAAAAATGCAAAAATCTGAAACCACCCTCCAGAGTGGAAGAGTTGACTAGGCTCCACTGTAGCGTTTCCGTCAACACTGCCCAAGACGCAAAACTCCAGTCAGATCTGTTCACGTTGCGTACACATTTATGTCACATACATACAATAGATAATTTCCATGCGTCAGACCTTCAAGCTGCCAGTAAACTTACAAGAGGCATCCCAACAAATGTACAGAATATCCAGAGATACTGTTAGTGAACAGAGAAGGATTTGCAATTACCTCTGTCAAATGTTGGATGCACCAGTTTGTCGCAGGCGAGCCAGATAGCTATGGATGAGACCTGGGAGAACCAGTCGATGGTGAATTTCACACACTTTTGCGTCACCGTTTGCAAGCAGATTTCTTCCCGAAAACGCTTGTCTAAACGTGGAATAAAAAATTAAGATAGAGCGCCGCTTTCCTGGATTTGGTTTTGCTGAGTCAGACATGGTAGTGCATTTTATTACAGTATAATCTTCTTTTTTAACTGCACAATAAATAAAAAATTTTTATCAAAAACTAAAAAAGCATTGGCCCTACCATTAAGCCTTGAGGAACACCAACATATTCAATACAATATCTACAATTGTTAATATATTCTCTAATCTGAACAAAACAAATTGAAATGTTGTGGTAGATTCTTGTGTAATCTCTGTCTAATCGTTCATCAGGTGGTGGTGCGTTTGGGTCGTCAGCGATGGCGGATCAGAGGCAAGATTGAATCAGATGATACTCAGACCTGGGACCACGAGGAGATGGCCTTTCTCCCACACATCAACCACAACTTCCACATCAAGGTACTAACTATTCAAATATGTTTGTTTTATTGGACTGAATGATGGTTTAAAATGTTTTGGATTTCAAATGACAAAGTCTTCAGTTGTTTACGGGTACACTGTGTAACTTTTCTGATGGAGGATCTGTGAAACACTTTTCTTCATGAAGTTGCTTTGTCTTGAATGTCTCACAGTATGGCATTAAACCTTTCAATCTTCAAGGAGACCAAAACAGACCAAATAACAGGTGAGATCTGTGGAGAGGCGGCCCCGCTGACAGTCAGAATGCCTTTTTTCCAGGTATTTTTGAGCAATAAAAAGTAAGGTAAATCTGTTTGAACATTCCAGACAAAGCAATTTCTGTAGAAACAAGAAGGTGACGCATCCTCCACCGGAAAAGATACAAAATGTACATTTAAACTTGAAATTACAACTTTCTGTGAGGCTTTTATTTTTTATTTGCTTCCATACAAAAAGGTCACGATTGTCAAAAGAAAATACAATTACTTTTTCAATACAAAATCATTCATCCCTATTATTCTGGTAGGTTCTTTGTACTCTCTTCGTTTTTGCATTTTTTTCATCTATGATCACCAAAGCAAACCATCTACGGGCCATTTTGACATGGCAGTGGTTTTACACCAGATGCCCTTTTTGACACAACCTAAATACACGAGTTTGTTTCCTCTTTTGTCTTGTAGGTAACAGAAGCTAAAGGACTGGGTTGGCAGTTGGTGGGCAGTGTGACATGTGCCAGTGCTGACTTTTTTGTGTCCAAACCACGCCTGATGTTGGTGGACATCACTGAACTGGGGACTATTAAACTACAGCTAGAGGTCTCCTGGAAGTAAGTACAGAGTATTTTTACTTCAGAAATATTATACTCCAAATACTGATGGCTTAGAAAAGAAACAGAAGTGAAGTTTTGTCTTACTGAACTTTAAAATGGCGCTGTGTAAGGTTTTACATCGATGGTCAAAAACATTTTCTTTATGGAGATGTAATAGTTTTGCTTGGGATGATCCACAAAATTAGCCAGGCTTGCGTCACCTAGTGCCTTCACTCAATTTCATTTTTCTCCAGCGACTAGGTCAGGACTCAAATACTCTAGACTGTTTGCAAGAACCCTGGAAGTTGTAGACCGCACACCAGCCAATCAGCGAAGAGCTGTGAAGCCATGATAAACTCATTGTGCCTGTCTGGGTCCCGTTTGTGGTACAGCACAACAGTAAATAAAGCGGTCGAGATGGATGTAGACGAATGTAACAACTGTGTCACTGAATATAGTATAAATTTTCCTCCCTCTGGGTTACACGAAGTCATACATTCTGTGTTGGCAACGAGTCCCTTGATCAAGGATTTAAAGATGAAACAAAGAGAATATTTGGTGAATTTTATCAAGGGGAAAGACGTTATTGCCCTTCTTCCTACAGGATTTGGCACATTACATACATCACAACCAAATAGCTGCGATTGGTTAAATAAAAAAGTACCCGCCTACCGTCGAACGAACGAATCATAATGCTGGCATAAAACGTAGCAATCTCCATGGAGACAGGAGGTTGACTCCACCTAACCTGTAATTCAATACATGTAAGATTGATGGGACAAACAATCAACTCATTTCACAAAATACAATACTTGTACTTGTGTCCTTTGACCTGCGCATGCTGCACTTTGGTTAAAATCCCATGATATGTTGTTAAAAACTGAGTTCAAAAAAGCAAAACATTTGTAAACTACTCCGTTCACATAACTATTAATAATAGAACTATATCTCTTTGTAAAAACACAAACTTCTTATCTTATCAAAAGCCCGGAGTGTTGCAATAATCAAAATAGCTGAGAGAAAGGAGAGGTGCAGACAAGTATGAAGGATGGTGCGGTGAACCAGAGATTTGACCCAGAAACAGGGGCCCTGCTCTGACCCCGGCCGCGCACAGATGTCCTGCAGAGGAGCGAGAGGAGGACCTATGGAGCAGTGACTTCATGTGTGGGTTATGTGCAGCTGCCCAGTAAATCATATGCACTATTACATTCTCCACTCAAGATATATGGCTTTTGTAGACATACAGTATTATTATTTGCATGATTTTTCTTTTCATTTGGCAGTCTGGTGGTGGTGGTGATTTGGCCATTTTTAAAGAAGACATAATGCATTCTTGTGGCTTTAATTTGCTTTTAAACACAATTTTGGTCACCTTGGGAGTAGTACGTTATATTTTCTAACTTAAATAATGTCTGCATTTGGAAAACATTTATACACTTCACCTTCCTTTCCAAAAAATTCAAAGCAATAACTGAACACATTTTGACTGTAGAATGAGTTAGAGAAACACAAAGTTCATAAATATAATGTGAACGGAGCATTTTTGAGTGCTCAGAGAAGAAGACTTTGGTTAAATGGATTAATGAAACAAGCGTGGATGAAACGAAATACAACTCCAGGTCTGTTTTTGTTTTTGATGAGGGGACAAGAGTAAGACATGGTTTAAAGCTCAAAATGTGTCTGTAAAGCTACGTTCAGACTGCAGCCTGAAGTAACCCAAATCCGATTTTTTCGCTCCTATGTGACCTGTATCTGATCTTTTAATGACAGTCTGAACAATACAGATCTGATTTTTTCAAATGCAACCCAGGCCACTTGGATATGTGCTCCTTAAACCAATACATATCTGGTCTTTTGACGTGTGACTTCAGTCTGAACGGCCAGGTCGCATTCATCCCACCTACATGTCACAAATGTACACAAACTCGTCATATGAAAATTGCGTATGAGCTCCATGTCAGTGAAGCAGCGCAGCACATATGAGTCTCAACACTCCTGGCTACAACTCTGCACCCACACGTTCCTTTCTACGGACATTGCTGCCACTGCCTCTCAAAACGCCATGACCAAAAACCTTGTCCTTCTCAATCTCCTCCTTAAAACAAATAAGCTGTACATGTTCTGGCTCCGGTACGACAGCAATTTTAAAATCTCCAGGTGCTCAATGCTCGTGTTCATGTTTAGGCGACTTCCGTGAACACTGAGCACGCTCGCTGTGTGTGATGTCATTGTGTCCTCCAATGCACATGCGGGACACTTTTGGGGCATTTAAAGTTCACACTGGAGATAAAATACAAGTCGCATTTAATTGGAAATGTTAACGACCCCACAAAAAAATCTTATTTCCCCCAAAAAATCCGAATTGAGCTTTAAGCCCTGCAGTCTGAACGTAGCCTAAGTCTGAAACGTTAAAGGTGCTTTGCGTAGAATAGATTTAGGAGCATTTATTCAGTTACCTGTGTTTTTGTTGCTTAAAAATACAAGTATTTACTTGTGATCTGCGGGCTCGCCTCTCCACAAATCTGACCTAGAAGTATTCTGTGCTTGTTTACAAAGAACATTCCAGCTATAACATCTACAAAGAAAGAGCTGGTGGCCTCCCGCACCGGCACTGCACATGAGAAAAGTTACACAGCACATCTTTAAAATGCTCAATTCACACAAACTATTTTGATAGAAAAAATGTCATATTTTGAGTATAGAGTTACCAAAGATGCACTGTTGCCCCCTCTCTGGTGTGTCTGTGTGTGTGTGTGTGTGTGTGTGTGTACATCCAGCTGATTGAACCTCCACCATGAGCCTCTCTTTAGTAGATCCAGGTGATGAGGTGCACAAACATGAGACAGAGGAGGCCCACGGACAACCATCTCACGCTACAGTTACACCAATCTGTCCCCATGTGTTTACACTTTCCTCTGCTCTGTTTGGAGCGCTCTTGATTGGTGTGGGGTTTCACTGGGTTGAAGGCATGTTTTGAGATTGTGGATACTATATAAAAAGTCTGTCAGTTTATTTTTGCTTCACCTCCAATACTGTCATTTTTCAGGTGAGATCTCATGAGTTACACTTGAAGAATCTGTCAAGAAAAAAAGTTGGGAGTAGTTTAATCGCATTTTACTTCTCCTTGAGTAACAATATTTTGAAATACATTAGAGGGCCAATATTATGCTATTTTCTGATCTATGTTATTGATATAATGTTTTCCTCATCATAAGCATACCTGGAGTTGTGTTTTGTTTCACTCACACATGTTCCACCTTGTGATGTCATGTAGTAATACAGGAAGTGCTCTGCTGTGTTTTCAAACTCCATACCCTTGCACTAGAATCATTTGGATCATTTCAGCTCTGGAATTGCCAATCTCTACTATAACAAAAGTTAAAGGCTAGCTATTAATTTGACAACTAAAACTTCATGACATCACAAGGTAAAACAGAGCATTTTGAGCTTTAAAGATGTAGACAGCCTAATAATAAAGGGTTACTCAGTGTATGTATTGAAGTGTGTAATGAATGTGTGAATGAAGCAAACTCAAGGAGGAGAAAACCACATTCTAACATGGTTTAAAGAGTCAATTTTTTAAATAATAATAATAGTAATATAAGATCACAAACCCTGCATAGTTAGGCTGAGTTCTTCTCTCAAACAGAAAACACTGATCCACCTTATTTATTTAGCACATATATAACCTAACAATAAAAAATACACTTTAGATAAGAAAATAGGTGCCAGAAGAGGCAAAAAACCCAAAAGGGCTTTGTTCCACCTTGTGATGTCAAATAATAATACAGTGCAGTATTAAAATTTTTTGGTTGTGTGTTTCAGTCCGTTTGACAGCGGTGAGAAGATGAAGCCTTTGTCCGTCAGTCGTCAGTCTGTGTCCAGCAGAAAGAGCTCCGTGTACAGCTGGACCGCACCCAACACCCCCTCCTTCACCGAGAAGTACTTCATGGTGAGTACTGATCACATAAAGTAATAAGTTCACTAGTTGAAATTGATCCTTTCATATGTTTCTTACCGAACTGACACAAGAATACTTAAAGATGCACAATGTAACTTTTGTGGTGGAGGGTCACCTGCTTTTTGTTCATGGAGATGTTATTGCTTTGCCTGGAATGTTCCAAAGTAAATTTATCTTTCAAGATACAGGTTAAAACTGTGTAGAAGCAAGCCTGCCCCACTGTAATAATGCATGTTTTGAAAAATACATGGAAATAAAACAAAAACTATATGGAGATAAACAGGTGTTACATAGTGCACCATTTAAACTATCCATATTAGTATTTTCAGGGTCGGATCAAAATTTAGTTGGGATCAAAATTCGGCCCTGGCATTTTTACTCTGGACTCCGCTCACTTGGACCACACCAGCCCAAATGTGGTCTGAGGTGGACCCGCCCACAGTACAGATTATCAGTCCGAGCCTGTCAGTATTATATATGAGATCAGTTTAGATGCTGAATGTTGTTATGTTGAATGTTTGGTATTTGATTTCTTGCAGTCTATGGTGCGAGAGCTTCAGGATACAGAGGGATTGCTGCCCTCTCTGGTGCCCAAGTCCCGCCCCCCTCGAGGAGGCGTGTCCCTGCTGAGTTACCTGTCCCACCAATCACACACCTCGATACCGTCCAGCCACAGCCCGCACAGCAGCAGCACACCCATGTGAGTACACAAGTGTTTATTACACATTATAAACTAAACAAGACTCTGGGAGTAGTGCAAATAAGTGTTAAAACAATAGCTAATAGTTTCCAAATTTTAGCCAAGCTAGTGCCACCTAGTGCCTCAATTTCTCTCAAGTAACTAGGTCAGAAATCGGAATACACTAGACCGTTTGCAAAAACCCCAGAAGTACAAGTCCAGGCACCAGCCAATCAGCAAAGAGCCATACATTGTGTGATGGCAACGATTCCTAAGATTGAGGATTTAAAGCTGGAACAAAGAGAATGTTTGGTGAATTTTATCAAGGGGAAAGACATTATTGCCTTTCTTCCTATGGGATGTGGGAAAAGCTTAATATACCAGTTAGCCCCGTTAGCAGCGCATTGCATACGGCATGGCCAAATAGCAGCGATTGGTTAAATGAAAAAAGTATCCACCTACCGACAAGTGACCGAATTCTAACACTGAGAGGTCAGACGGTTTCCACAAAGTGAAACCGGTTGATGAATCAGGCTATCAAGATTTAGCATTATGTATGAAAAGTGAACATATAAGGTCTGGTCTGGTAATGGTTTATGGACTTTAAAAACAAACATTTTCTCCACAAACATAAAAAGTCAACATAAAAACCAAATCGTTCAGTCCTACAAAGCAACATCTCCACGAAGACAAGCAGATGACAAGTTACACAGAAAAGTTACACAGTGAGCCTTTAAATAGTAACGCTTTCCCATAAATTCTTGAAAATCTTTTTACCCCTCCTCCCCAGCCTGAACAGGACACACAGTTACCCGTCCAGCCCCAGTCCTGGCACCAGTTTGGGGGACAGCCGCTCCCAGCTGTCCCTGGATGGAGAGTCAGTGAGGGAGTCCCCAGAGGAGGGCAGGACGAGGAGGAGGAGTGAAGAAGAGGAGGAGGAAGAAGAGGAGACATGGGCCAGGTCTACCACTCCAGACCAAAGCACCACAGGCTCACTGCTGCTGGAGAGGTGAGACCAGACCAAGCTACTTTTTAAAATTACTGTATATTTCAAATGTATTAAACTTAAACCATGTTGGCCAGATCTCCACAGTTCAGAAAACAAACATTATTTTCATCAGATTACTTACTAGTATAATACATTTTTGCTTTTATGGTTGGGTTCAGTCATAGACAATATAAAGAAGTGGACTAAGAAAGTGGGAATGTTGTTATAATATATCTTATTTATGAACAAGATAGTGAAATAAAAAGCTCAGGATCAAATAGCGCAGGTTAATACGAACATTTTAAAGGGACAGTCTGGAATTTTGGACATAGGACCTCATTTCCTAGTGAGCCAGAGTGTTGGAGACATGTGGAGACACTTGCTGCTCAGACATAAATCCTTCAAATGCAAGGTTGGTTTTACTTCTAAAATTATTCTATCAACACAGACATTCACATCGACAGTCTGGTGTAAAAATGGATTTTCTTCGGGTGTTTTGTGGAGTGGGTAAGACTGTTTTTAGTGGCATCCTCAAGGACTGGATGGAATATTTTAAAAAGTGTCTCCACACATCTCCAACACTCTGGCTCACTAGAAAATGAGGTCCTTTGTCCAAAAATTCTAGACTGTCCCTTTACGACCAAAATAACGAGGCTCACTGCAGTAGTTACAGAGAACAGTGACAATATTTCAATGTAATGTCAGTTGGACCCAGAGTCAATGGAGCCAGAAGCACCCCTATGTTCACTTTCTATTTGGAATGGGGCAGCTGATGGGTTAGCTATGTACATTTCTATATATAGTCTCTGGGTTCAGTGGAGTGTTAACTTTTACTTTATGTCACTGAAACACAATTTTCTCTCCAGATGCAGCACTCCTGACATTCTGAAGAAGAGCACAGTGGGAGAAACGGACTCTGTCAGCCCTGTGATATCTCAGGTTGGTTTAGACTTAATTTAGGCCATTTTTAAACAGAGATGATGTAGTAAACTTGTAGTTTTATAATTTCCACTCTTTTCTGTCTGATACTCTCCATATTACACCTACTACAACTTGCTTCTAATTCTACTCCTATAACTATCACTATCTTAACCTTAACTCATACTACCACTACAACAGCAACTACTATTACTACTACCACTACTACTATTAGAGCAACTACTAATACTACCAGTACTACAACTGTTACTACTACAAAAGGTCCTACATTACACAAAGTTGACGCTTGTGAGCTTTTAGCCATGTTATAATGTTGTTTCCTCATCAAAAATGTACCTGGAGTTGTGTTTTGTTTCATTTACACATGTTTGAGTAACTCTTTATTATTAGTCTGTCTACATCCCCAAAGCTCAAAATGCTCTGCTCCACCTGGTGATGTCATGCAGTGGTGGTTTTTAAGTTAATATCTATCTTTTACATTTTATTTAGCAGAGATTTTCGGTTCCAGTGCTGAAATCATGCAGGGTTTGTGAGATAAACATGTGTGAATGAAACAAAACACAACTCCAGGTACGTTTGTGATGAGGAAACAACATATTAACTAATATTTTTATACTACAACTATCAGTATAACCTTCACTGTTATTATTATACTACTACTACTATTTACCTACAATTTCCTCTTTTGTTTCAGGAAGTACCAGTCTCCAAGCCCCTCTCTTCCCCACAGCTTCCTGAGGCCAAAGACTCCTCGCCCACAAACCCTGCTCCTAACCCGAGTAAAACTGTGACCGTGGTCCAGCGCAGAGCCCTGTCCCGCAGACTGGGGGCGCTCATCGCTCATCTGGAGAAGAGTCTGCAGAAGAACAGCTCCACAGAGAAAGAACTGAGGGCGCTGGACCATCACCTGCTGCACCTGGCCACTATACTCAAGGTTTATATGTCAGAACTCAGAGATTAGTTATGATAAATGACATGTATACAGGCATCAAGAGAGTTTTGATGCAAGAAACAAAAAAAATAAAATAAATAAATATACCTGTATATCTCTGTCACATAATCAAAAAACTGTAGTAATCTCAAAAGACAAAACTGAAAAATATGACTTGGTTTGACTTGAATTCAGAGATATTTAGGTGTTTTTTAACTTCTAGATGTATGTATTTCCAAATAGATTATAGATTCATAGATTGAAGATTGGGTTAGGGTTAGATTGAAGAAATGGGTCTCAACTGAATTATTTTTGTAACTTTAATTATTTTTTGCTAAAAGCTACACTTTCTAGATGTGGCATCACCTGCATGATTCCGTGGACAAAGAAAGTTAAAACCATACTTAGGAACATTCTCCATGGGAATAGATGAGGTTTTTGTCATACTGTGGAATATTTTAGCCCAAGGAACAAGATTTTCATGGAAACTCTGCTCCAGGCCAAATATGAGTCAAGTTTGTGGTCAGTAAAATTTCTGAAAACAACTCACATTTGTGTTGTAGAATTACTACATTGAATACATGACATTTTGTGTCACATAGACAGTTATAATTGACTTTTTTCACACAGTTACACCGGGTTCCCACAGGTTCTCATGGAAATCCTGGAAAAGTCATGGAAACTAAAATTATAATTTTCCAGACCTGGAAAAGTCATGGAATTTTGTAAATTCAATGAAAGTTTTGGAAAAGTCATGGAATTTTAGTATCTCTTTCACGCAGCTATAGCGTTCTGTTAAGTTATCATGAGTTATGATTATTTCCAAATGTAGGCGCCTTTTGTTTAAAAGAGATGACAGTAAATGCACTGACAGTATTTTGAATGTTAAAAAACTATAATCCCAAAACATAAGGTGAGTGGAAAGGGTTATTTCATATTTAGCCCTAAAAGTATGATAAACTCTACACATGTAGGTGCAGTAAAGTGGATGGAAAATGGAAAATTAACTTTAGGTCATGAAAAAGTCATGGAAAGTTTTGAAATTTTGTCAGTGGGTTAACCAGTGGAAACCCTGGTTACAGTTACACTAAAAAGGATGACATCCCAAGTACTAAAGCAGTGTCTGTTTTATAATATACGTATATACTGGTACTTATATAATGGTTTGTGTCCCTGTGTCTCTCAGAATGACCTGTCTCTGCTGAGGAGCTCGTGCTCTGAGGAGACTCTGGCGGAAGTCTTGGGCAGTTTTGATTTTTTATCCCACGACCTGAATGCAGACGAGGACAGCAGCTCTTGTCTGGGCAGCATCAGGCTCAAAGACTCAGGGTCAGTCCTTGTCACGGCAAACACTAAAGCTCTGGAGTTTATTATGTCTTTGTATACATAATACACTACATACCTTCTTTTAAGATTAAGCACAAAAAAGAAATAAACAAACAAAACATTCCATTCATTAACATATTTATACAAATTACATAATCCAGTTTTCTTTGAATCTGACAGGACAGAGAAGAGCTAAATGTCTTCAGATTGTCTTGTCTAAAAGTTGTTGTATTTAGTTTATTTTAAATGGATTACAGAGGTCCAAAGTTTTTCCTCACATTCCCAACATAATCATTCATAGTAATGAGTTTATAAGCACTTTTGACAACTTTAAGAAACCAGAGCGAAGTGTTGCCATCACATAATATAAATACATAAAACAAAATAACTAATAACAACTACCATGCTAACAGCACACTTCCAGAGGAGGATAAAAATGCTTTATAGTTGGAAGCAGACATCATGCAACTTTTTTGGCTCCACTTTATGGAAAAAACATGTTCAGTTCAGTTGATGAGAAATTACAACATAAAACTTTATAAATGTATAAACGTATTTGTGATTTTATTTTTTATTTTTTTTAACACTAACCCTGATACTTTTTCCCCGCAGCATCAGTTCGTTTAAGGAGAGCACCTTGAGGAGCCTGGGCCTCCTTCCTCAGGACACATCCTCACAGGAGGAGCTGGGGGTCACCCCACTGACTTCTGGGAACTGGAGTCTGGACCAGGCCCTGGAGACTCACCTGGACATCTGCTGCAGCCTGCTCCAGGTAACACACACGGACGAACACTGATCATGTGACTGTTTAAAATGGTAATGACAATTACCAATTTCTTTCCCAGATATTGACTTGATTTCATGTATTTTTTTAGATTAAGTTGGGAAATAAATAAATTGCCAATCCTTTTAAAATATTTCAAATTAGTTCAGTTCAGAGTTGAGACTTTAAAGAAATCAACTGGACATTTTTATGTGTCAAAAAGCACAGATTTTTGGCCACTGGCACATCTTTAAAACAGCTTTTTCACACAGAGAAGAGAAACAGGATGAACCACCCTTGGACAACCAATTACCTCTCATCCCAAAACCTTAAATATCTCTAGGCATACATGGCTCTTTCACACAAATTTGAATCTTTGAGAATAGATAAAATGAGAATAGTTATAGATGAATACATGTTTATAATTACATAAAGACTCATATTGGGTCAAAAAGTTCTGCTAGACTTTCTGAGGGGGTTACAAAAGTGTTTTAATAAGATCATTCTGATGGTCCAAACCAAAAGAAAAAAATATAATTCTGCCATATCTCTCTACTGTAGTTTTATAAGATTACAACATTCCAGCCACAGGAAATTTACTTACTTACTTCTTGTGTGTTATGATTACATTTTTTTGGTGAAAATACTGAATTATTAAAGTAGCTAATGTTGAACTTGACATTTTATATTAGTTTTGAGGTCCATAAATCACCTTAGAAATCTGGAATCTTACCTAAATCCATTTTGCATGCACCCTATCTCCATGTAACTGCACTATATACTGTGAATGTGTGATCTGAAAGTGAGCAGACATTTTAACACATGGTGAAAAGTTCCAGAGCGTCCCACTTGAGCTAAAGCACAGCACATTTGTACCAGAACAAAGGGACTATATGTGAAAAGTCTTCCTGTGTTTTGGCTCAGGTGCTGCGGGTGACGGACAACGCCTCCTCCAAGCAAGACCTTTTAGAAGAGGTGTCACTCCAAACCGAGGCCCTGGACAAAATCAACTCCCTGCTGCTGCAAAAGAATGACGACATCTCAGCTAAAGACAGTGAGTTTGGGCCAACGATATTCACCTGTGACCATTTTTAAAGGGCCCATTACTCTATTTTCTGATTTGTGTTATAATGTTGTTTCCTCATCACAAACAGACCTGGAGTTTTGTTTTTATTTCATTCTCACATTTTGAACACACAAACCCTGCATATTTAGACTGAGTTCTTCCATCAAACTGGAAACACTCTGTACCACCTTGTGATGTCATGTGGTAATACAGGAAGTGCTTCAGCTGTGTTTTAAACTCCATGCACCTTCACTTGAATCATTTGGATGATTTCAGACCTGGAATTGCCAATATTTAATGAACAAAAAGGTAAAAGGAAGCTTGAAAAGTACTGCTTCATGACGTCACAAGGGGGAACAGAGCATTTTGAGCTTTTGAGATGTAGATAGGCTAATAATAAAGGATTACTCAAACATGTGTGAATGAAACAAAACACAACTCCAGGTCTGTTTTTGAGGAGGTAACAACATTACAACATGGTTTAAAGTTCACAAGAGTAAATTTTGTGTCATATAGGACCTTTCAAGGATCACTATGTAACTTTCCGGTAGAAAAGCTTAGGTCCGTGGAGATGTATGGCATTAAACCTATGTATCTCGATGGAGAACACAAGGCCGAGTTACAGGTCAGATCTGTGGAGAGGCAACCCTGCTCACATTCTATTTTTCTATGTATTTTTGAGCTATAAAACAACCTGTAGTTGAATAAATACATATGTTTAATACCTAATGAGATCTCCATAGAGACCACGAGAAAATATACATAGTGCACCTTTAAATGGAAATGGAAAAAAAAAAAAAAAAAATATATATATATATATATATATATATATATATATATATATATATATATATATATATATATATATATATATATATATATATATATATATATATATATATTTATATATATATTTATATTTATTTATTTATTTATATGCAGAAAGTATATATACTTCTATATGTATATATTTCTCTGGTGGAGGGTCCGTCAAATGCTCTTCTCCATGGAGATGTTATTGCTTTATCTGGAATGTTTTACAGTATGGCATTAAACCTTTCTATCTTCATGGAAACCAAACCAGAACAAGTTACAGGTCAGATCTGTGGAGAGGCAATCCTCCTCACAGTCAGAATGTCTGTTTTTCTAGGTATTTTTGAGTTATAAAACAATCTGTAATTTGATAAATGTAAAGTTGAGGTGTTTAATGTCATACTGTGGAACATTCGAGGCAGAGCAATGGCATTTCCATAGAAACAGCAGGTGACGGACCCCCAACCAAAAAGTTACATAGCACACCTTTAATAATAGCCTATCTTTCCCCTCTCCTAGTCTTACCAAAAGCTCAGAAAACCCGGGACCTGCTGCAGTTCTGGGAGGAGTGCACCGACGATGCCATGTCCGCTCCCTTCTGTTGCCATGCCGACAGCTTCTCCCGATCCCTGCGGAAACGCTACACACACAAGTGAAGGCCAAGCAGCCTGGCCAATCAGAGAGAGGTACGTGCTTTATCTGTTTATTTTAATTGCAAATGTAATAGGACTACATCAATTCACAATTTTTTTGTATATTATTTTGTTTATTGGTCAAATTATAGAATATTTTACACATTTTCGGTCTTAAACAGAGTTATATCAGATCTAAATCATGACTAAAGCCTTAGATTTGGGGTAAACCAGGTCTAAACCAGGTCTAGAAGGGGTCCGTCACCTGCTTGTTTCTATGGAGATGTTATTGCTCTACCTGGAATGTTTCACAGTTTGACATTAAACAGCTCTACCTTACATTTATTCAATTACAGGTGGTTTTATTTCAGGCATTCTGATTGTGAGTGGAGTCGCCTCTCCATAGATCTGACCTGTAACTTGGTCTTGTTTGGTCTCCATGGAGATAGAAAGGTTTAAATCTATTGCGATAGTTTAAAACCTTGGAGAAAAGCAGTTGACGGACCCTCCAGCAGAAAAGATGCACAATGTACCTTTAAGCAGTAGTAATGATGAAAAATTTAAAGAAGTGAAGGCTATATACCTGATTTTTGTGTTAAGAACAGAACTAATTAGAAGCAGACAACACGCTGCATTCTTATTTAGACCCTAAGAGCTTTTATATCATATCTGTACTAGGCCAAAACAACTTTATAACATGAAAAATCAATTAGAGTCTCTTTAATTGAAGCATACTGCATACATACATACGAGTATAGAACAGCTCTCCTCTGTCTTCTCCCAGTCTTTGCTGAGCTGGTCCAGCAGGTGGCGTCGGTGTGCAGAGCTGTGCCCAGCCCCTGGTCCTCCTCCAGCCCACAGAGACTCACTGTGTTCCAGCTGTCCCTCTACATGAAGCGCTGGAACATCTCTGACCTGGGGGAGCACATCTCACAGCTCTCCAAAGAAGGTGGGTAAAACTGTAACATCACAACATCAGGCCCTCGTGAACAGTGATCAGTGGTCCTTTGGAGAGAAAGAGAGATACTTTATTGAGCTTGAGGGAAATTCAAGTTTTGCTGCAACATTACTCTTCTCAGTGGCCTTTATGTCTCAGTCAAAAGTCAAAAGTTTAACAGGAGGACTGGTCAGGGAGAGTCAGCAGATCTGTATCGGGCAGTTTGAGGAGAAGAAGAGCCAAAAGTGTCCCACCTTTGTGTCCTGCAGCATCACAGCAGCGTCCAGAGAGAGCCAAGTGAGCACATCAGGAAAGGCCTCACTCTAAAGCCCAATTTATGGTCATCTGCTTCGCACAGACTTTGCGTCACCTTGAACCCCCTCCGACATGCACCTCTGAAATGTTCTAACTACGATGCTGACACCAAGGGAAAGTGAAGCAGACAATAAGTGCTGTGATTGGTCCTCTCTACCAAGGGCGTAGGTTTGCATAGGGATGGTGGGGACATGTGACAACCAATATTTGGGGAAGACAAAATAGTCCCCACCAATATTTGCCATTTTATTTTAATAAACAAAAATATACATTTGTTCTAATATTTTTCCAATCTCTATAGTATTAATTGAACACGTTTTAGTTCATATTTTGTTTATTACACGTTCTGAGATGTATTCAGTGATATGATGACAGGGTTACTTCTGCCGCTATTTCATTGGCTGCAACAGAGTGACATCATTAGTGGAGCCAGGAGCCTAAACTGGAGAAGCAGCAGGACAGGGTCGCACCTGAAGATGTCGGCTTGAGCAGGCGCGAGTGAAGACGGTGCACCAAACTTTTAAAAACTTTTCAAAAGGAACTTACTTGGCTTCATCTTCCGTTAAACTTTCCTTATAATGAGTCGCTGCAGAAAAAGAGCAACTATCACCTTAAGTGCACCTCCCAAACAGAGCCCTACTCGTGCGCTGTGAGCAGCCCAATTCTACTGACAATATTCCGTGGAAAAATGTACGGACATGACCTCACAAATATCTCATCACCAACAAGCAAAGCGAAATCTGCTACAAACTTCTACAAACTTCTACATCGCTGTTATCTGCTAAAGAATCATCTTAGAAGAGCAATGGACACAAACTGTACATTCTGCAAACTGAAAAATAAAACCACCTCACTTATTTTAGACCTGCCCAGACTCTGTGTGTTTTTGGAAAGAATTCAACATATGGGGAGGGGAGGGGGGTGAATAATTACTTACTACTTACTGCGGCGCACAGACTTCGACGGAGATCCATAGATCAAAAACGACAGCAACAAGGCGACAGCGGCAGTGTGTGTTGAGTCGACGCAGAATTATAATTTAATGCTCACAAGTAACTTAAAAACCAAACATTCTTACTTTGACCCATAATGTGGCCTAGTAACTGCACCACATGCTCGTCTCCATGAAAATACGTTAAATGCCATACTTAGGAACAATCGTGACAATCATTTGGTGTGCCCTCCAGCTGAAAGGTGACAGTGCATATTTAAGTTTTAGGCCTATTTCAGGAAATACAACGCCAAGCTGTCCAATAAACTACACAAACTACCTTCACTGTAATCAACAAATTGCTGGTTGTCATGTTCCTAAATGTCATCACCTTTTCGTCACTGATTTGTAGTGATTGGGACTTTCAGCTCTTTTATGGGATCTGAATCTTTGGGATCCTTTCATGTCAAAGAGCCATTCAAAAGACTGTCTCTTTTATGGTTATTTATACAACAGAAGCCAAGTCATTTTAACTACAAAGTCATCACAGAGAGAAATGACCGAGGCTCAGATTTGTTTAAAATGGTTCAGAGTGTGGGAGTGTGTTTACCCTTTGGAATGATGCAGAATCTAAATAAAACGTTGCACTATAATAATAATAATAATTTAAGCGATGCCAAATATGTCTTCTGTGGACAAAGTTCTCACCAGAGTTGCTTGCTCTGCTTCTCTGATGATCTTGAGTTTGTAGTTCAACGTTAATCAGTGTAAAAATGCATAAAAAATAGTAAGAAAAAGACTTTGTCTCTTTGCAAAATGAGATCCAATCGTTCACATTAAAGATGCGTTGAGTAATTTTCTAGTAGACGGTCCATCAAAGGCGTTTTTTCCGTGGAAATGTTATTGCTTCGTCAGAAATGTTTCACAGTGTGGCTTTGTGTGTCTATATTGTGTTTCAGAGTACATCTTGTGGTCTCTGCGGGGGCTGAAGAGGAGGAAGGCTCTGAACAAACTGAAGCAGAGACACTTCTCAGAGCTGCTCCCCCTGAGACAGACGCTCCACACTCTGAGCTCTCTGCAGACTGACCCCCATCATAAAGTGTGTAAGGCTGCAGCCAACTGTCTGAGCAGAGCCGCCAACAACAAGAGCTTTAGGAGCAAGGTGAGCACAGGGGAGGAGGAAAACTGCCAGAGGGTTGTTGAGAGGTAATCGTACACAGCGAGATGGATTGCAGGGATATTTGTGAATTTATAAACACATGAGAATTCATCAGGTGGGTGGGCCAGTCACAGAGCAGCATTGAGATTTGTGAAGAAGTCAAAGGCCAAACACTCAAACCAAAACAAACATGGCAACACTGACAGACATACTTCAACTTATTTTGCCGTTAGTACTGACTATTTTGTAGGTTAAAACATGCAGAAGGTAAGCGCTCTGTGCATTTGTGGACAGAGAAGATGTCTGTGCTTTTCTCTCGACTGGATGTAACAAAAGTTTGATTTTTCGGCTTGTTCTAGTGTCGTGAAGCTTCGACCAATCAGATTCAAGTAGTCGTCATGATGTGTCATGTTTTCTGACCTCTTTCAGTGAGAGTCATTCCAGATTGATAAATGTGTAGAACTCAATTTAGAGTGACGCACATCAGTCTGACAGGATCCAAGTTTGATATGTTGACAAAATATCTAATAATTTTAAAACATTTTTAATAGTGACTGACTAGACCTCAGAAATCTCTATGTTACAACAAATGTTTTCCATAATATTGGCCTAAGAAACACCACACATGGGATGTTTTGTTTTGATTAACTTTTTAGGTTTGGGCACGATTTATCTATAAAGTAGCTTAAATATTTATAGTGCATTTACGGTATTTTTCAGACTATAAGGCACACTTAAAATCCCTTAATTTTCTTAATTTCTTAATTTGTGCTTACTGACCTCGAACCGATTTTCACATATATGCTCATATATTCCTTTGGTCTGACAGAAGCTGACCACATCAGCAGACAAGGAACAAACTGTTTTTTCAGCGCTTATAAGTTAATGAAAATGAGTCATGTGGTTTTAAGTTTTGTTTTATTTAAAATGTAAACAAATGTGCACAACGCTGCATTAAACAAATTATTACTCAATGTATATTTGAGTTCTCATCATAGGAAACAAAAAAAATTAATTAAATTATCCGCCCACATTCACATTCATAATACACAGTCACCAAGACAGGGAGGCAACGCCTGGCGAATTACATCCATTGGATCGTGAATGCCTGGGCTAAGGGATCAGTTTCAAGTGTCATCCGTTTGTTTCACTTAATGCGCCTTATAATCCTGTGTGCCCTATAGTCCAAAAAATATGGACTATAAAATATGATAATAGAGCATATTAAGTATTTGCTCCAGCTCCTCTTGTTAGCTTTAAATCACAGAACAATTCAAAACCCCACATCTTTCAACTCTAGTTTCCCAACTCTGTGGAATGACATATGCCCTGTTAAATGTTTTCACACCACCTCACTATGTGACCCTGAGCTCGCCCTTTGACCTTTCCAACATGGCCGACATAATAACCATGTCAAGATTTGGTTGTTTAGTGTTTAGTGCCCCCCAAGAACAGGCTGCTCCTCTGTCTGTGTGTACCTTCCTTAAGATCATAAGTGCTACAGTTTGTATTTTATCTCTGAAGAGGGAGTTGCAGTAGTTGGTAAAGATGTTTGCCCAGTAACTGTGTGGTTTTTGGTTGAATCCCAACTTCATTGCATACTGTATCCGTGGGGTTTAGACTGACGCAAAATTAAGATTGCTGTCATAGTAATTAACAAATCAAAACAATGTAATATACTGTATGTTTTTAATGGGCAAAAGTCTTTAAAATTGCACCAATGATTAGGAAAAAACATGTGATTGAAACCCATAAATTGGTGCTCTTGGGCAAGACACTTCACTAATTTGCTTGAATTTGATAACTGACAACGGTAGGACATGTGTGAAATCGTATTGCTACTTGGAATGGGCAAAAAATACTCCAAAAATACTAGGAATCAGGCTTCACGTGTAACATATGCCCAGTTAAATATTTTCACAGTTCTTCACTATGTCACCTTGAAATTGCTGTTTGACCTTTCCAACATGGCCGACACAAAAACAAGTGTTGAGTTACAATTTACAATGCGTTAAGAGGGTGCAATGACCATGAACTTTGACCACATGAAAGACGAGAACAGATAGTATTTTTTCAGCTTTGTCAATGAAAATATATAGTATGTACTTCAGAAAGTGGTAGTAATTGTTTTAAGTTATAGTATTTTTGCCCTTTTGTTTCTAGGCAGTGGTTTACTTCACCGAGAGTCTGAAGAGCTCTGACGCTCTGGTCCAGCAGTGCTCCTGTCTGGCTCTCAAATGTCTCAGGGTGAGTCTTTATAAAATATATTTAAAAGCGCACTGTGCAACTTTTCTGGTGGAGGGTCCGACATCGGCTTGTTTGCCTGGAATATTCCACTGTATGACATTAAACATTTCCATCTAGCATTTATTCATCACATGTGTTTCTATTGCTCAAAAATACATTAATTCCTTCTGTGAATAGGGGCGACTCTCCACAGATCTGAACTGTAATGTAGCGTAGTCCTGTAACCTGCTTGTCTCCTTCATGATAGATGGTTTTAATCTTTTTTGTGGAACATCTAGACGACGCAATAACATTTACTCCACTAGAAATGTTACGCAGTGCACCTTCAGTGAGTTTTATGATGGCTTTATAATCCTAACCATTTGATTTTTCTATAATCTGTAATCCTTATTCCTCTTTCAGATGCAACAATATTAAAAAAAGACATATAATTAAACATCATATAATTAAAAAGAAGAGGTCCAGGGGAGTCAACTGGGGGAAGACAAAGGGGTTGGTTGGCCCCCAGGTCTTAGGGGCCCAGAAATTGGAACCTCTGCCTATTTATTAATATTAGCTGGGGGCCCATGTGAGTTTTCTTGCCCCGGGCCCCCAAATTTCTGTTGACTGGCCTGCAGGGCAAGAGTTTTTTGTTTTTTTTCTGAACATCTATCTTAAGAAATTTCAATCTCTTAAAAGCTAAGCAAGGTTGTGCCTGATAAGTACTTTGATAGGAGACCGCTGGGAATACCGTGTGCCACAGTGGAGCAGCAGTGGCTCCAGTATAGTATCTATCATTGTGTCCTTGAGCAAGACACTTTCCCCTTTGTGGTGTATGTTAAGAGAGTGTGTTTGTGAGCTGAATATGGAACAGATGAAAATGAGCCCATATATACATATACATTTATATAATTATGCCATATTTGACATTAGTCTCTTGCTATTTTTGCTGCTTATTATGAATGTATTATTACCATTTATATTTTTACTCTTTGTTATTATATTGTATTGTGATGTGTGAGCTATTGTGTCCAAATAATTTCCCTTGTGCATCAGTAAAGTTTGTCTGAGTCTAATGTGATTATACTCAGATTTCTTGCATGTTTTGTAGGCAACAGAGAGTGTGGACTACATCGCAGAATTATGGAGATCAACCAATGAAGATGTGCGCAGTGCTGCCAGAGAAACAGTCCTGTCCTTTGGTAAATATAAATTCTTATTATTTATGCATAATTTAAAGGTGCACTGTGCAACTTTTCTAGTGGAGGCCCTGCTAAATGCTTGTCTCCATGGAGATGTTATTTCTTTCCCTGGATTGTTCCATGGTGTGACATTAAACATCCATCTAGCATTTATACATTAATTCCTTCTGTGAATAGGGGCGACTCTCCACAGATCTGACTTCTGATGTAGCGTAGTGCTGTAACCTGCTTGCCTCCCTTGATTTAGGTTTAATCTGTTAAATGCAACATTCTAGACCAGAGGTGTCCAACTCAAATTCACAGATGGCCAAAATAAAAAAAAACTGTGAATAAGTCGTGGGCCAAACTAAATATTTATTGAAAAATTTCAACAACATCTGCATGTTTTCCCTTCTTTCGAGATATGTAATGTTAAACCTTTTCTTATTTAAATAAATGTTTAATAATAGTTTTACTTAAACATTGAATCCAGAACAAGCATAATATAAAATAATAACAAAATTAATTAAAATAAATAATGTCTCTATAGCCTGTCTGTAGCCGGTGCGCCAGCTCTAATACATATTTGATTTGATCTCGTGGGCCAAATATGATTATATCACGGGCCAAATTTGGACCCCAGACTTGAGTTTGACATGTCTGCTCTAGATAAAGCAATAACATTTTCATTGAGACAAGCAGGTGGCGGACCCTCAAAGATCACGCAGTGCACCTTTGCTCTTGTAGGTCAGTCATGGGCAGTTATTTTTTCCATGAGGCCACATAAGAAACAGAAAATATTGTGGAGGGCCAGGGCCAAACTGTTTAACTCAATTCTGCATAATATTAATTGTATTTCTTTATAAAAAGCAGTAAATATTGTTTTGACGAGCTGGTAAGACTGGTAAGAGTTTATTTTATGACTAAGAAAAAATGTGAAAACTATGAAAAAGTGAAGTTGCCGTACAAAAAATGTCATTTAAAAAACACCTTTATAATAAAAGCAATGCAGCTTTAGTCCATCCATGAGGTAAAATTATAAGTCAACCAAAGCGCTGTATGTTGCCTGGGAGCTGTACAATGCCCAGGTCTGGTCTAAGTGTCTGTATATTGATTTTTATGTGTTGTCCACAGGTAAGAAGGGCCACGCTGCGTTTCAGAAGATGGATCAGATCGACAGTGAGCTGCAGGAGGAGGCTTACAGGAACTTAGAGACAGAGATCACCATTTTGTAGATGCCACGTTAAGGCTGGTTCATGATCCAGAGTCAAATCTACACGATGGAAAGCTCTGTGACGCACCCAGCAGCCAGTCAGAAAGCTTGCCATGTTGTTTTTCCACCAATCGTAAGGGCTGTGATTGGTTGATACACAAAGACCAGAGGCAGCTGATAGGCTCTAGTCACACTTACATCATAAACCAAGAAAAACTTTTGGAAACATGCGATGACAACTTCTGGTGGGTTCTGTCTGACAAAATCTAGGAGAAATGAGAAAATGGTCCAGTTTTCTTCATCTACATAACACTGTAACGTTCCGTTATGTTCGACTAATCAACAATTACACCCATACCACAGTTTTCATCATTTCCCCACTGACACACAACTCCAAGCACACGAGGTACATGTGATTAGAAGAGATGAGGGCGCCAAATCCAATATTATTCCAAACAGCACATACGTCTGCAGACTTCCGCTGATCACATTTACTGTATTTTTCCGAATATAAGGTGCATTTAAAAGCCTTTAATTTCCTCAAAAATTTACAGTCGCCTTATAATTCTGTTGTGCTTACTGACCTACAACTGATTTTATGTTGTACACGGTGCTCAAAAATCTGTCAAAATGTTTTAGTACGACTTTGGTAAAATATGAAGCTGCAACACTTGATGGATTGTCGGAGCATTACAGCTACCACAGTCAGGAGCCTCATGGAGTCCAACAGAAGCTGAACCGCATCAGCTCACAAGGCGCGAGCTGTTTTTTCAGAGCTTATAGTTTATGCAAATGAGAAGGTGGTCTTAAGTTTTGTTTCTGTAAAACGTAAACAAATGTGCGCAAAGCTGCATTAAACACATTACTACTCAATGCATATTTGAGTCCTCCTCATAGGAAGTAAAAAAAAAACAACAACTTAAATTATCCACCCACATTCACATTCATCATACACATTCACCAAGACAGGGAGGCAACACCAGGCGAATTACGCCACGATCTGCCAATGGATCGGGACGCCTGAGCTAAGGGATCAGTCTCAAGCGTCGTCCGTTTGTTTCGTTTAATGCGCCTTATAATCTGGTGTGACTTATGTATGAAAATAGATGAGAGAATTCAACATTATTGATATTGTGCCTTATAATCCGGTGCATCTTATAGTCCGAAAAATACAGTACTTCAGAGGGTTTTATCACAATCAGTCGACGAGCCCTGTGTCCGGAAGTACACCAGAAGTTGTCACTACATGTTTCCAAACGTCTTCATGGTTTGTGACGAAATCGTGAATAGAACCTGTTAAAAACAGCTCAGAGCAGCTAAAGTCTGGCACAGAAATGTCTGTATATGAGCCTAAGTGATTGTTATGATTGTTTATTGTCACAGTAAATGAAAAACTAATTCCCATGATGCACCTGAGCCTGGATTAGCTCTGCAGAAGCTCATACAGTTGAGGTCTGACGTGGGCCTGATGCTGGATGGTTTATAATCCAGTCTTTAGAAGGAAACAGGAAGTGACAGAGGAAGTACAAGAAATGAAGCTGCACTGAAGAAGAAGAAATGTGAATGTTTTAAATTGTTTCTATTTGAAAGAAAATTTTTTGATAGAAAGAGATGGATTTGATGAAGCTTTTTAAGATGGTACAATTCATTAAAGACAGCCAGGAATAAGACATATTATTATAAACGCTGAACAATACAAATTTTTGCATCGGTACACCCCATAAGAGCTGCAGTAAACCAGGACTAGACCAGGACTGAATCAGGACTGAGCCAGGACTGAACCAAGACTGAACCAGGACTGAACCAGGACTGAACCAAGACTGAACCAGGACTGAACCAGGACTGAACCAAGACTGAACCAGGACTGAACCAGGACTGAACCAAGACTGAACCAGGACATGTCTAGACATCACAATTTCATTCTTTCGTAAATTTTCTTCTAATGTCAATTTAAGAGTATAATGCTTAAGTATTATTTTAGGATTTAAGATTTTAACTATTTTGTGATATTGTTTTCTCATCAAAAACCCACCTGGAGTTTCATTCAGGTAGGTGTGAGTAATCCTGCAATCCTCCCGCCCCCTCATCAGAGCAGAGAAAATGAATATTTCCACTTTGTGATGTCCAGGCTAATTCTGATCATTTTAACACTCATTTGACCTTCCCAAGAACTTTAGAGCGAGCAGCTAATGTTTGAGCCTTTTATCAACTGCTTATCCCATCGGTGCACAAGACTGGGGTGAGTTTTTGCGCCTTCTGTTGGTGAGATGTGGTATATGTAAAAAAAAAATCAAGACTAAATTACCTTTTAATTTTTTCCCCATAAACTACTTTGGATTCAAACACAAAAGTACAATTCTTAAGTGTACAAAAGTAGTTCTGGAAGTGTAAATATAGCATAATACCATTTAAGAAGGACTATTTTTTTGTGTGTGTTTAGACCATAGACTGTATAAAGAAATGGATTAAGGAAGCGTCAAATGAAGTTCATGAGGAGAATTTGGAGCTGAGTTCCATATTAGGAATAGGAATTGATTGATTGAGTTGAATTGGTGATTGATGTATTGAAATAAAAACACTAGGATCACGGAGAGCGGGTTAATACAAACATTTTAAGACCAAAATGAGGAGCCCGACAGTCACAATTACAGAGAGAGGGACATCGTTTCATTCAATACGAAGTAAATTGGAGTCAAAGTCGATGGAGCCGGAAACACGCCCATGCTCACTTCCTGTTTGGGACACGCCGACCAGCGGATTACCTATGTCCATTTATATATACAGTCTATGGTTTAGACCAACCCACAGGACAAACCAAAATGGAAGTATGGACATGAGCTTTAAGTAATTATCACTATGTTTGTACGTTATCTGCTTCTGTGTAATATTAGCCGTGTATTTGTGCCATATCATATTTCTCTGTTTACATATTTATTAACTCATTTGTACATATGTATTTTTGTAATGTGTATTCAGTCTATGTATACTTGTCAATAAATTAGTGTTATTTCCTTAGAACTTGTGTAATCATTTTAGTAGATTTATACAGATTTAAAGATTTTGTTTATTACACTATTTTCTGATCTATGTTTTAGTGTTGTTTCCTCATCAAAAACAGACCTGGAGTTGTGTTTTGTTTCATTCACACATATTTAAGGCACAAATATTTAGACTGTTCCAACTTGTGATGTCATGTGGTAATACAGGTCCACTGTGTTTTTAAACCCCATGCAACTTCACAAGAATCAATCCTGTGTGAGTGAGGAGGACAGAGGCTGTTTCCTATTGGCCGTTCTCATCTGTGGGCAAGGTTTACATTTAAGAAATAAAAGAGATGAGGTTTGGATGAGGATAATTCTGCCTTCGCTCAATTTAATTTCTCTCCAGCAACTAGGTCAGGAATCAGAACACACTAGACGGTTGCAAGAACCCTAGAAATTGTAGACCGCGCACCGGCCAATCAGAGAAGAGCTGTGAAGCCATGATGTCAAACTCAAGCGCCTGTCTGTGTCCCTTTTGTGGTACAGCACAACAGTAAACAAAGCGGTCGAGATGGACGTAGACGAAGACATACATTCTGTGTTGGCAACAATTCCCGAGATCGAGGATTTTGAAGCCAGAACAAAGAGAATGTTTGGTGAATTTTATCAAGAGGAAAGATAATATTGCCCTTCTTCCTACGGGATTTGGTGCATTACATACCAAACCAGACCAAATAGCAGTGATCGGTTAAATAAAAAAAGTACCCGCCTACCGTCAAGCGAACGAATCCTAATGCTGCGAGGTCAGGCAGTTTCCACAAAGTGAAACCGGCAGATGAATCAGGTTAACATCTTTCTTGTGATTTTTTTTTTTTCACTGCAGAATTTATGATCAATTTGAGGGCTTGAAAATATTTGTACTGAATATTTAAAAGGTGAGTTTCTCTTATAATGAACAACTAAAATTCTAAATAAAAATAATTCAAACGTTTTTTTCAAAAAAATTCAAAGTGAGAAATTCAACATTTAAAATTCAAAATCTGATGAAACAAATTATCTTTCATAAGGATTACTCAAACATGTGAATGAAATAAAACACAAATCCAGGTCTGTTTTTGAGGAAATAACAACATTATAACATGGCTTAAACCTTTCAAGAGTCAATTTTGTGTAATATAGGACCTTTAAAGGGAACATATTATGTAAAAAAAAAATAATAAAAAAAAAATCATTGCACTTTTGTTCATTTTATAAAGGTTTCCCTCTCATCATTCATCAGAGTTATTCGTGGTTTTCAGACTCCAAAATGTAATAATGTCATACTCTCGGCTGGGGGGGGGCAGAGTCAGATTTCCCTGTTGATATCATGAATTAGATAAGTGCAAATATTAATTTTAACCGGCTCCATCTGTAAATAATAAATAATATCGGCCAGTAGAATGTTGTAATGTCACCTGAGACACACACTGGCCTAGAGACGTTCAAGGCTGATGAAAGAAAGAGCAAATCTATTTTTCCCCACGGCTGAAACATCACGTCATGTATTAATATGACGTGATGTTTTTAGCAATGACTCATCTCCTGTTTTGGGCGCTGCTGGTTTTGAATTGGATTATTACAGGTCAATGTCGACATCTGGTGGTCACATGTGTAAGTGCAGTTTGGTGAACATGGACCGAAATGAAGAAATGTGACCTTAAAATCAACATCAAAAATTCTGTTATCTGTTTGATATAGCAGCTTTCAAGTACATTTTGGAAAATAAAGGTGCATTGTGTAATTTGTCTTGTGTAACTTGTAGAGGGTCCATTACTTGCTTGTCTCCATGGAGATGTGACCATAATATTCCACAGTATGGCCACAAATTTGGAGACTTGCAAGCCAAATTACAGGTTAAATTTGTGTAGAAAAAGTTATGTTTTTAAATATACTTTTGAGCAATAAATAACACCTGTAGTTAAATAAATGCAACACAGATCAGTTTAATACCATACTGTGACAATTTAAATCAAAGCATTAACAAACAAGAAAAGTTACACAGCGCACCTTTAACAATAGTGAAAACATTGTTGGAAACATTGATTGAATGCTTTGAATTTTTTCTCAATTTTACAGATCCAAAAAAATGTGTTTCCTGTTTTCATGCAAAACTAGAACCGAATAAGTTATATCAACAAAAAAGGAGGACTAAGAATGATTTTAACCAAGTATAACGATCACATAAGAAGAAAACAATTGTATTTTTAAGACGATAATAACTTATATATGCGTATTTGTACATTTTAAAGGTCCTGTATTGAGAAAAATTTACTCTGTTTTAGTTTTAAGTCATGTTGTAATGTTCTTACCTGCTCAAAAACAGACCTGGAGTTGTGTTTTGCTTCATTCACACACGTTTGAGTAACTCTTTATTGTGAATCTGTTTACATTTCCAAAGCTCAAAATGCTCTGTTCCACATGGTGATGTCATGAAGCAGTAGTATTTAAGGATAAGTCCACATGAAAACACACTTTTTTTTTTTGTGGGTTGAAAAAAATTTGCGTCCACACACGTGTCAGATCAATAAATATTCACATCATAACGACAACAGGGCACTGAGTGAAAACAATGTAATACACATACTACACCTGTATGTGGCGCTGTTTATGATAATATTTAATAATGCAGATCCCATCACAGTTTTTTTTTTTACTTAAGGTAATTTAGTCTGTTGTAGATGTATCCCAGAAATATAGACGGTTTGTTTTGCAAAAGTTAAACATAAGTTTTCGTTTTTAGCCACAAGATTCGGATGAGAATTATTAGAATAACTTGGTCTCAAAATCCAACAGTTTAATTACCTGTGTGTAATCTTTGGTTGCGTATTTTGCAGTGCATGTTGTTAGCATTAGCGTTAGCAGCGTGTCTCGGTTGCTGGGTGACGGGAGCGGCTCCGTGGGCTACACCTGTCTCATTTTGGCATCAGTCTTGCAGTTTGCGGAGGCTAGTTCAAGGGCAGCAGGCACGACGTCATCGTTTTCCAAAAGCCGCGGGTTGCTTGTCCACACGACAACACAACACCAGCATTCTCACATTTCTCCACTCTGGAATCCATTTTCACTCACCTGAAACACCAGCTCTGTGTGAATGAAAGGCCAAAACGAATAAAAACTTCATTGTTTCGACCAAAAAACGTTGTCGTGTGGACACCACCTAAGTTAACAGCTACATTTTACCTTTTGTTTAGAAGAGATTGGCAATTCCAGGGCTGAAATTATCCAAATTATTCTTCTAGTGAAGGTGTATGGAGTTTAAAAACACAATGAAGCACTTCCTGTATTACCACATGACATTACAAAGTGGAGCAGGGTGTTTTCTGTTTGAGAACTCAGCCTAAATATGCAGGGTTTGTGTGTTAGACATGTGAAAGAAACAAAACTCAACTCTGGCTATGTGTGTAATAAAAAACAGAACAAAATAACAACATTATAACATAGATCAGAAGTGTAATTTGCGCTCTGTAATGCATTTCTGTTGTATAAAGCTGCATTGTTCCAGGCCTGTACTCGAGAAGGACTAAGCAGGTGATGAAAAGCACGAGCCCCTAGAGCAGGTGGTTGCTTCTGGGTTGCATCATCCACAAAAACAGGCCAAGGTTCTGGTTGTGGTTTATATGAATGTAACGTGTCACGGACTTGCCTCGGTGTGATTCAGAGCAGTGTTTTCAGCACTGGAAACATGACAGCCTCAGACAAATACTGCAGTGTTGAAAGATATATTTAAGAAAGTGATGTTTTTTAACCATTTTCTGTTTTCTGTTCAAGTCTACAACTAACATACACTATTCTGTCGGAAGCTGTGTTACTTAAATTAGACATATTTGAGCTTTATTTAACACAATCTGACCAGAAAGAGCTGAGACGAGTTGATTTGTGCGCTTAAAGAACTCTCTCTCATATGTGACCAGATTTTCAAAACCATATTTTCAAAAATCAAAGAAAACTGTTCTGCACCCGGCCCATTCATGACTTATTCAGGACTAACACGTGAGTCAGTTTAGTCACACATTCTTTGTGTTTTGATCGTTTTTAAGCAGCTTTTTTGCATTTTTCCTAAATAAATGACAATTTATGCCTCTCTTTGCTGTTGGCAGGGATCAAATTGGTCAAAAATAGAGACATTTCTTGTATAAAACTGGGACACATCACTGGTTTTGGGTAAATCTGCTGGGACAGGGGACACAGGGCTCAAAACTGGGACTGTTCCGGGTAAATGGGGACGTTTAGTCACCCTAGTCACGAATAAAATTACAGTCACAAGCTCGGTAGCACACCTAACACCTAAACGGGGCCATGAAAATGTGTTGTTCAAATCCGTTGTGTAATTTTTCTGATTATTTTAACACTTCTTTTGCAGTGTTTTCTAATGTGTGCTCTGCATCACCATTTGGGGGTCCATCACCGTCTTGTTTCTATGGATTTGTCATTACTCTGCTTCAAATGTTCCACAGTATGACATTAAACGACTCTAACTTACATTTATTCAATTACAAGTGATTTTAATGCTCAAAAATACCCAGAGAAACACAGATCTGACATGTAACTTCAACTGGTTTGGTCGACATAATGATAAAAGAGTTGAATGCACATCTCAGAGCAAAAACGTCTCCACGGAGAAAAGCAGAAAAGTTACACGATGCACTTTGAAATCTAGAAGTTAAAATATTGCTGATTATTTTAACACTTCTTTTGCAGTGTTTTCTAATATGTGCATTGAGTCACCATGGTAACTACTTAATATTCCACCAGTAAACATACATATAGATCCCCTGAATCAACATTATACTAGGGATGCACCGTCTCCATGGAAATATTATTGCATTTAAGGCATCTGTCTATTCTATAAAAGGTGTTTATACAAGTCAGAAATACCTGGAAGGTGGATGCAGATATATTTAAAATGCATTTAATTTCCATGGAGACAAGCAGGTGGTGTACTGTCCACTAGAAAAGTGACATATACTGCATCTTTAATTGTGTGTTGAGGATATAAATGATATTATGAGTGGATATCTGCTACCAGCCGAAAACTGGATCTAAAAGTTAAAATTTTACAAAATAAAACTGACTCTTGTGAGCTGTAAGTGATGTTATAATGTTGTTATCTCCACAAAAACATATCTGGAGTTGTGTTTTGTTTCATTCACATGTGTTTGAGTCACACTTTATTATTAGTCTGTCTACATCTCCAAAAATAAAAATATGGCAAGAAACTGTTAATAAAATGGTGGCTTTAGTAAAATGAGCACAGGTTGAGGCATGACTGAAGTGATGCATTCCTTTGCTTCTGTTGAGCTGTGTTACTAATAGGATTTTTTCTGTAGCCTAATCTTCGCTTTTTAAGATTATTTACAGTTTTGTTTACTTGTTGAGAGGTAAGTATACTCTGTTACATATACTCACGTACATTTACCTGAGTAACCTTTATAGTACTTATTTGAGTATTAAAAGTAAACGTATGGTTACTCTTTCCACTGTGAGTAAATCTACAAGTGATGAAAACATTATTTTATCATTTTTTATGTATGTATTTGATTCTGTTTATTATATTAAATGATTTGAACATTAGTGTTCCTTGCACTGTACCGATGTACTGATATAATAGTATGAAGATTCTTAATGGTTTTGTCCTTCAGCTCTTCCAAATCCGAGGCCATAGTTCTCGACTGGGAAAGGGTGGCTTGCCCTCTGTGGGTGAATGGAAGGTCCCTGCCTCAAATGGATGATTCTCGGGGTCTTGTTCACGAGTGAGGGGAGGATAGAGCATGAGACTGACAGGGGAATCAGTGATGCGGTTGCTGGGCTTCTGTATCAGACTGTTGTGTGTGTGGTGAAGAGGGAACTGAGTTGAAAGGCAAACCTCTTGATTTACCGGTCAATCTTTGTTCCTGCCCTCATCTATGGTCATGAGTTTTGAGTAATGACCAAAAGGACAAGATCGCTGACACAGGCAATGAGTTTCCTACACAGGGTGGCTGGGCGCTCCCTTAGATAGAGTGAGGAGCTCTGTCACACAGGAGGAGCTCGGAGTAGAGCCACTGCTCCTCGACGTCGAGAGGAGCCAGGTGATGTGGTTCGGGCATCTGTTCCGGATGCTTCCTGAACGCATCCCTCAGGAGGTGTTCCGGGCATGTCCCACCGGAAGGAGGCCCCGGGGAAGACCCAGGACATGATGGAGGAACTATGTCTCTGGGCTGGCCTGGGAACGCCTTGGGGTCCAACCGGAGGAGCTGGAGGAAGTGTTTGGGGTGAAGGAAGTCTGGGAGTCCCTGTTTAGACTGCTGCCCCTGCGACCCGGCCCCAGATAAGTGGAAGAAAATGCATGGATGGGTTTTGTCCTTCTAATTACATGAATCTGAAATTATAAATCAGATATTACGCCTTTACAGCTTCTCTTACAATTATTATTATTTGAATCATAGTTTCCTCAAATATTTCACTTGCACCTTTTTTTTTTTTTTGGACTACTTTGTACTTGAGTAATCCAATTGTGAAGTAACAGTACTTTTACTTAATTTTTGACTATTCAACCACATCTTTTTTGTATTGTGATTTCAGTGCACTTATCAAGTTTTGTACAGAGATTACTTCTAACTCAAGTTGTTCCCAGATATGTAAACCAACTTCACAACAGAAATTAAAAACAAAAAAATCACATGAGAACAGTCTTGAAGAAAAAAAACTTTATTTAAATTAAAACCAAAGCAAAAGTGCAGCAGTATTTCATATTGACCGCTACAGGGGCTAGCTGTAAACACCATAAACTGTGTGAAACAACAACAGAATACTTAGAGATGATAGAGATAACCGAACAGCATCGAAATACACAGCGCGCAGTCAGCTCACCTCCCACAGTGCGTGCAACAGCATTCATATTGCTTTGAGTGGCGAAAATACTGACCACGTTTCATTTTGAGGCCCCGACACAGTAAGGAGAGTTAAGAGAGCGGAGCCAGTTGACAGGAGAAGAACATTTGCAATTTTGAGAAGATGTTGAGTGGAAAAATAAAATTTGCCTATTTACAGTTTATTCCAGCAACTACTGGTCTTGAGGAGATAAAAAATGGTCCTATATTATTGACTTTTGTGAGGTTTAAGTCATGTTTTAATGTTGTTACCTCCTCAAAAACATCTGGAGTTGTGTTTTGTTTCATTCATACGTTTGAATCCTTTATTAGTCTGTCTACATCTGCAAAACTCAAAATGCTCTGTTCCACCTTGGTAAGTTTTCAAGTTAACAGCTACATTTTCGTTAAGATTGGCAATTCCAGAGCTGAAATTATCCAAAAGATCCCAGTGAAAGTGTGTGGAATTTGAAAGACAAACTCAGCCTAAATATGCAGGTTTGTGATAAATGTGTGAATGAAACAAAATACAACTCCAGGGTATGTTTGTGATGAGGAAACGACATTATAACATAAATCAGAAAATAAAGTAATACTGTCCCTTCAAATGAAAAAAGGCAGTTTTAAAAAATAAAATCTAATCACAAAATTTTGTCAAACGTCCTTGGAACAAATGGACGAACAGACTCAATTTGAAATACATCAACTAAGTCTTAAAACTTTGCAGGAAGTTTTTTGTCAGCTTTGAGCTCAAACATCCTCGGAACAAATGGACTACTTGAAAAAAGCCATTTTGAATTCGAAAAATATCAGAAATGAGTCTTAAATGTGCTCAAAATTTCTTAGCAGAATTTAAAAGTGCAATTTAAATATCTAAAGCTAATCTCTAATAATCATTTTTTATGTCGATATGTTTTTCTCATATTGTGTTTGCCGTTTGGGTTTAATAAGAAAGCTAAAATTAAAGTATCGTCCATTGTTCAGGTTTACTCCACCTAAAGCCCACAGCAGCGAAAACATGCATCAAAAAAACTGAAAGATTTAAAGCCATAGTATGTAACTTTTTGGAAAGAAAATAGACTAAAATAAAAGCAAGTTTTTTCAGTCTGGTTGCGATTGTTGCGCTGAAAAACATGACAAAAACATGCGTCCATACTCTGAGCGGGTTTGCATCTCCACAAACCTCCCTCGGAAAGTTACATACTATTGCTTTAGGGGTCCATCACCGTCTTGTTTCTATGGATACGCCATTGCTCTGCTTCAAAGATCCCACAGTATGACATTAAACAGCTCTAACTTACATTTATTCAACTACAAGTGACTTTAATGCTCAAAAATACTTAGAAAAACACCGATCTGACCTGTAACTTCACCTGGTTTGGTCTACATAACGATAGAAAGGTCGAAGGCCGTACTGTGAAACATCTCAGAGCAACAACGTCTCCATGGAGAAAAGCAGAAAAAAGTTACACAATGCACTTTTAAACGTCAAACTTAATCGTAATTGCAAGTACAGTTTTTTAATGTCAACAGAAACCGCTGTCAAACTCTTGCATTTCTTATTGGTCTTTTATCGGGCCTTATTGTGTCTCCCCGTCAAACCAGCATGTCATGAACACCCAAACTATTGCACTACCTCTCGCACATTCACACGATCCTACCCTTTGGAACAAAAATGATCAGCAATTTCATCTTAAAACTGTTAAAATACCTTGCGTGGAAGAAAAAAAACCCTAAAAAGGCAACCCATGCACTAGTGGACCACAAGTGAACAGCAACAAAACGAGAGGTGGGTGAAACTTCCGCCGGATTTAGCAAAATGGAAAAAGGTGAGGAGATTCTGAAGTCAATCGCAAAGCATCCTGGGTAATGTAGTTTTAGAGGGTATTCACAGCATTGGAAGTGATTGTCCAGTCTTCTCACTTTGGAGAATTATGGATTAGCAGTCTTGCAGATAAAATTTTTGAAAGATAAAATGATTAACACAAAATCCAAGTAGTAGCAAGTTGGGTTTTTTTTGGAAATCAACGTCTGAATTTCAATTATTGACAATTAGATAACCGCTGCTTGATGGTGGAAAAATCTCTGTAGAACATAGCCCAGTTGGCCATTTTGAAAGCTCCAAAAACGTACATTTTTGGTAGTTTTTCTTTCTTAAATATAGTCTTTCAAACACATTTCGTAAATTTGGGTCGTTTGGAGACTGGTGAACGGGAAATACTGAAAATTGTGATTTAAAAAAAACCCTCAAGACTAAAATTTAAAAGTGAAATGCTTTGTCATGTCCGCACGTGTTCTTCTTAGTAGAACAAGTCTCTACAGCTTGACCCAAAAACGCATTTTAACACGTTTTTTTCTGCATTTTTTCGCTTTTTATTAAGTCTGTTCATACAGCATGGCAGCATCAGTCCCCCATCCCTTTTTTCTCACACTTTTTTTCAGTCCTCCATCTCGGTACCCTCCGACAGTGGGTACGGCGTCTTGGCGGCCTCTAGGTGCCCACTATGGCCGGGTCGTGGGCAGAGTTGGGGAGGGCGGAGTCGGGGCAGTGGTACAGGAAGCAGTTGCCCCAGCAGCTGTAGCAGATCAGGAAGAGCGCGGCCAGAAAGACCAGGGCGCAGATTGTGCAGGGCTTCCTCTCCAACAGGAAGCTGAGCAGGTAGAAGCCCATGAACATGGAGTGGTTGAACCAGAGCGCCGGGTTGAGCGGCTTGGGGATGAGCAGTACCGGCAGCAGCCACTGGAGGCAGTACATGGTGGTGCTGTGGAAGGGTGCAGTGATTGGAGAAGAGGAGGCCGGGTGGTTGGTTGTCGTGGCAGCAGCGAGGAGGAGGAAGAGGAGGAAGGCTAAGTCAGGTCAACATCCCTGAGGAGACAAAGAGGCACAGACAGTTTTACATCTGCTGCTTCCTTCACCCAAGTGAGTAAAAACAAACTAAAATACTGGAACAAATCTCCGTTGAGAGAAATATTTTCAAAAAAGAAATGGTAAATAGTCACTGTTTTATATTGCGCTTTACATCAAGGAACCGCTAACCCGTTCACACACATTCATACACCAGTGCACACACACACTGGGGGTGAAGCGGGTCAAGTGTCTTGCCCAAGGACACAATGACAGCATTCATCTGTTGGAGCGGGAATGATACTGCCAACCTGTGGGTCAGTGGATCTGACCGCTCAAACAATGATGTTTATGTTAAGAATGAGACAAGCCGTGATTCTGACTTGAGTTAAAGTAAAAACTTCGCAGTTCATAATTTCTCTCCTTTTTGTATTTATTTTTATATTTCTGCCATCATTGCAACAAGAGGTTTAACTCTGCAGTGGAAATCAGCTGGAAAGTTCCCCAGGCTGGAAAGTCATATTTGATATCTTACATATTTCAATGAAATACATAGTTAAGACCTTCCTAAAAGTGATTCTGAATGATTTTTGAACAAATTCTGTAGCTTTCTAAGTTTCTTGTGTTGTGCTGCTTTGCTGCTTACAAATTATTATTATTCATAGCAAACAGGTAAGGAAATAATTAATATTTCTTCCCATATCAACAGTTACAGATGCTGTAGGACATGGGGAACAAGAAAAAATATTTATAATATGATTTTATAGTAAACTTTTGTGAGCAAATGAGGATTATATTGATGTTATATACTGAAAAAATGTGTGCTGCTTTGGGCAAATTGGTAAAATTACATAAACAAGGCCTGACATTTGGTCTCGCTACATTCACATTTAATTTTATTATGATATACAATGGTGATTTTCTAACTCAGTACATCACAGTGTGTGACACGGCAAGAACATCCCCCTCTCCCTGGCACAGCAGTTACCCATGTGCCTCCCAAGAGAAGGGGGCGTCCAGAGGGAAGAGGGGGATATTCCCGCCGAAAGAATGGGATGCTCGTGCTGGAACTTTCAACCCAAGAGGACGCTCGAGCCAGTATTCCTCTGCAGCACTTTTTATCCAAGTGAAATGTAAATACGTGGAAATAAAAATCTCAATATTTTTGTATGCACAATCTTGTGACATTTTTACCTCCGCCAAGGAGGTTATGTTTTTGCCAGCGTTTGTCTGTTTGTTTGTTTGTCTGTTAGCAACATAACTCAAAAAGTTATGGACCAATTTTGATGAAATTTTCAGGATTTGTTGGAAATGTGAAAAGGAAGAACTGATTTTATTTTGGGGGTGATCCGGAAGAAATTCTGGATTCTGGATCACTTTGAAATTTTAGTTAACATTGTGGTAAATGGGGCCAAAAATTTTGTTTCTCAATATCTCGGTTAATTATTGACCAAACCCCATGAAATTTGACTCGGGGATGGACAATGGGATCCTCTTTCATATTCCAAAGGCTGATCCGGATCTGATCCAGAAGACTGATTTTATCGCAATTTATAGAAAAAAATGGGGGTAGTCCTTGGCGGAATTCTGCGCTCTCTGAGTGCTTTTCTAGTTATCTTATGGCACGAGATGTTGGCCCATCTCTACCAGCATTAAAATATTAAAGTAAATTAATTATTTACATTTATTTATATTTTATTTTGTAAGAGCTGTACTTTAAAGCAAAATCAGAACATTGTGTGCTGTGTGTATCTAATTGTCAAACATTTATAGTTTGCATGTGAATACTAAAGAGTTTCTGAAAGCTATACAGATTTAAATACTTCCACCTTTCACATCTTCACGATCAGGTGTCCACGCTTCAAGTATATTCTTTTTAGATTATAACAAACAGGCTTTACTTTGGCTTTTCTACTACACTCTTTATGTGTGACTGCCCTCGATAAACCAAACTAGGCGAGTCTTATCAAGATTGAACGCACCGTTTTTCAGCACAATCAGCTGAGGAAGAAGGAAATGTGTAGTCACAGAATAAACAGGTTAGAAGGTGTGTCTCTGCTTCATGGGGCAACGCAAGCACACATGACTCACGACATGATTTAATTTCCTTATATGGGCCCAATATTCTCCAAGGCTTTAGAAGGGACTCGTATTTACTCAGTCTCTGGTACTTTAAGCAGGGCTGCATTATATGGCTTAATAACATCAGGAATTTTCAGATTTAAAGAGATTTTGTCAGAGATTTAAAACATGTATTTGCCAAATTTTTCTTGTGATTAGGGTGCTGTTGTATCTTAATGATTAAACAACAATTATTATTTATTTATTTATTTGCTGCTAGTATAAAAGATCTTACATAACAAAATAATAAAACTGTTTCCTATAATTTCAGGCTATAGTTTATCTTCAATCTTTTTTATTACATTTCATAATTACTCACTCGAAAAGGGAGAACCGAGGCACTGGCTTCAAATAAAGACTTTTTAATGCGCTATAGAGATATTGACACGCTCTTAAAACAACCAAAACGTGTCTAAAATGTTTTTTAATCTGATCTTTTCCACAGTCTTTTTAAATGTTTAACAATAATACATAATGCATTATCTTCCTCATTAAATTTCCTTAAAGCAATAAGTCAAAGTGTTGTTGTTAGTGAGAGGCAGGGGAACAAAGGCAGAGCAGTAAAAGTGTCAGGCGCAGCTGCTGTTGGTGTAGTACTGCTGCCAAAATGGATGTGTAAGGTCAAATTGGTTTCTTTGAGCATTACTGTGGAAAAAAATACATTGTCAAATCAGTCATTTTGGTTGAAAAAACAATTTTTTTGTAACTACGCAATATAATCCATCTTTGAGCATGAGTTGAAAGCCTGTATGTAAAAGTAAAGTCATTCCTCATGGTTTGAATTTCAATATTTAGGTATTCATTCATTCATTGACAATTAAAGAAAAGCTTTTACGCATTTTTGTAACATGGTTTGTCCAATTTCTTTTGTTTTGGAGTTGCAGGTTGTTGGGGTTTTTTTTTCTGTATGAGTGACCCCTCTAAAATACTTTGCCTATTCTTAGATACAGCAGAACCAATCACAGCACAGAAACGCATTTTAATATATTTATAGTCTGGGCAACACTAGCACTGGTCTATTTAATCCAGGCTAATCACTGTTATCAGGTGAATTCATTCAAACAAAAGCAGCTAACGCCAACATACAGCATTTTAATATATTGTGAGACTGAATAAAAAGTAGATTTATATTCTAAAACGCTGTAAAATCATAAATCATGTTAAAATCTCACATAGTAAACAACTTACGTGTAGAGAGCCGCGATTAGCAATGAGAACAAGTCGTCATTCTCCCATTTGTTCCTACCCGATTTGAACCGGTTTTGGAAGTTTATTTTAGGCTATGATTTTCTTTATTAAACACATCGTGAAATAACGCTATGCTGGCAAGAAATAAGTAAATTAAAATAAATATTTACCCGAAGCTGCATTAGAAGATACCAATCGTGTTTCAAAGAGTAAATTTTGTTTATTAACGACAACTACGAATGCGGCAATCCGAATCGGGTACAGATCAGGTAATAACAAAGCTAACTAGCCTAGCCTCCAGATTAGCGTGGCACAAAACAAAAGATTTGACACAATGTGCAACACGTCTGGCGCTATCGATTGGAATAAAAGAGTAATCTAGCATTATTCTTATATTTATTTTACATAATAGCATTTAAAAACGGAGTGATTTGACAGACCTGACAGATTTGATAGTCGTTCTCCAGAAAAACGCAACACAAACATCAACAGTCTCGGCAGTTAGCCTTAGCATTAGCCGGAAGGACCCCCGCGTTGACGTCAAATGCGGTTTGGTCCAGTGGTTTTGCCTGAATAAAATAATCCAAATTAAAAAGTCTAATTATGAACTCGCTAACTAAATAATGTTACTCGAATAAAAGTGCAAAGTATTAGTCCAAGAAATGGCTCGAGTAATAAGCATTGTTTCTGACAAGCTGGTCATGACTAAGCAATGAAAATATTGCCTTACAAAAGATTTTATAAGAAAAAAAAAACCCCCAAAAAAACAGTCCATGCATAAGGTAAAATTATAAAATATGTTTATTTGGTAATTCCAAATTATATTAAACGGGCCAGTCAGCTGTCATGTGGCCCGGGAGCTGTACAATGCCCAAGTCTCAGGTCTGATATAAATGTTAAAGTCATTTAATATTAACATAAAAAATAACTGACTTGTTATTATTACTCAAGTATGGGTAAAATTGAAGAAAACTCAAATTGTGTGAATTTATCTTAGTCTGTATTCCTTTGAAGCCCAGACTTTATTTCTCTTCTTGGTCTTTGTTAAAGTAATTCACTATATAATCCTATAAAATGCTTTATTCTGTTATGATTGTAAAGTTTACACATCATACACATCAGTGAATCAGTGTTGATAATCCATCTTTATCATTTTCAGTTTCTTTAAATTTCTGTAGGACAATTTTGCAATGAAGAGTCATTTAAATAAAATTTTAAAATAAAACACAACAAAGTATTTTTCTCCAAACTTTATTTCCTCACATTTTAACACAGACAAGACATAAAAATGTAATAAATAAAAACAAGAAACTTAAAAAAGAAAAGAAAACAAGAAAGATCAACATAATTTATTTTCTGCTAGCAATAAATGCAAAAACTCTACATATATTTGGACATATTGCAAGCTTGTTACTGAAGTTTTAAAAGAATGGTCAAGGATTTACTATGATTAGAATATTTATAATTAGTCAGAATTGAGTGAAATAGACATAAGTGACCCAAGCCATGCAGTCACAAAATCTTTGTTCCTCTAAAATCCTGCGTAATTGTCAAGGTCATCCCAGCTGTCGAAAATGGAGAGTGGACAAATTTGGACGAGATTCTCACAAGAAAGGGCATCTGATAGAAAACAGATTTGCAAGCAGAAAAATAAAGTGTACAATATGCTTTAGCACACCATAACCACCAGGTGTCACTCGAATATATAGCATACTTCCAACATGAGTTTGTATTGGTAGTCCATTTCTGATGACAAAACTCATTTATTCCTCAGGATGTAAATTTGGCTAGATTTTGGACAATTATTTTACTGTTTTTATGATCATTTAGGCAAACTGAATTGTGACGAACTGATTCATGAAATGGACTTTAGCATTGTCATCATGTATTTCTTTAGTTACTTTTTCTGATGGGAGATCACTCTGTCCTCTGCTTGTCTCCATGACGATTTTATTGCATGGGATGTTCCAAATATGGCATTAAACATATATACTTTGCATTTATTCAATTACAAATCAACCAATCAATCAAAATTATGTATAACTATAATAATATATACTATATTATGTATCAATTTAAACATACTGTATTTTGTAGTCTTGATGTATGGATACTTTTTATTACTGAGAAAACCAAAAATAAATGAATACAGTTAATTAAAACACAAATTTCTTACTTTGAGCTTATTTCCATGGAGATATAAGTTTAATGTCATTCTATGGAACATTCAAGGGACAGCAAGTAAAAAAGTTACACAGTGCAGCTAAATTTCCATAGAATTTTTGGACAATAAAGATTTAAATGTTATAAATCTTCTTGTCTAGGGTGACCAGACATCCCTATTTACCTGGGACAGTCCCAGTTTTGAGCCCTGTTTCCCCAGATTTATCCAAAACCAGTGATTTGTCCCAGTTTTATACAAGAAATGCCCCAGGTGTTACTATTTTTGACCAATTTTAATACGTGCCAACTGTAAACAGACACATTAATTGTCACTTGTTTAGGTAAAATATAGAAAAACAGCTTAAAAATGACCAAAACACAAAGAAAGTGTGACTATACTAACTCACATTAGTGCCGAGTGTGTAACAATTTTCCTTAAATACGCACTTGTTGCACAATTTTATTATTACAAACCAACCCAAACTAGGGATGTCCAAGTTTTTTATTTTGAAAATCTGGTCACCCTAAGCTTGTCCCCTCTTTTAGTTTAGGCTAGAGTTAAGAAATGCAGGACACTAATAATCAGAAATGGATCACACTCTTTGTCCATCACATTTTAAGCACTAGGGGGCTGGAAAGATTTAAAGCTGCACTATGTAACTTTTTGGTTGAGCTCCTTCACCAGCTTGTTTCTATGGATATGTCATTGCTCTGCTTAAAATGTTCCACAGTATGATATTAAACAGCTTTACCTTTCATTTATCATATTTTATAGATTTATAGCTCGAACATACCTTAAAAAAAAACAATCTGACTGGGAGCGGGTGTCGCCTCTCCACAGATCTGACCTGTAACTTGGACTGGTTTGGTCTCGATGACGACAGAAAGCTTTAATGCCACACTGTGAAACATATATACAATTCAATAACATCTCCATGTAGAAAAGCGTTTGACGGACCCTCCACCAGAAAAGTTACACAATGTGCCTTTAAACATAATTCTATGGTTTAAAAAAACAAACAAAACATGAATAAATATCAACAAAATAAACATAAACGAATAAGAAACATGTCTAAATCGCAAGTATCACCATCACAGAGGCATGCCCTATTTGTATACCATTTGGGTGTTTGAAATAGTCACAGTTTCAACACTAGAACATTGACATCTCGAGACTCGACTTGGACCTTGGTATATTTCACCAAAGAAGCTAAACGTTATCATGCTAGCTAGCTTATTTTAGCCTATATCTCTAAATGTCGCCCACGTGTCATAGCCTCCAGAAATAGCCGTTAGCACGTTAGCATACAGCAGCCATTCCAACACGGAAAACAGTAGCAGGCTAACAGCACAAAAGTAGGATAGTTAGAGCGATATCACGTTGATCGATGACCATTCCTATAAGCAAAATAGATCGTTTCCGTCACTGGATGTGGTACATTTAACATGATGCAGCATATTCTCAATGATAGTCCATGTTTTTAAGTAACAATAAATAAAGTGCCTTAACTTTTTTCCGCATTTCAAGTGACTACAGGCTGTTTTGTCATTCACAGAGGTGGTTTCAAGGTCCCATATTACTTTAAATTGACTCTTATGAGCTTTTAGTCCTGTTATAATGTTGTTACCTCATCAAAAATATACCTGGAGTTGTTTTTTGTTGCATTCACACATGTTTAAGTGACTGTTTTTTATTAGTCTGTCTGCATGTACAAAGCTCAAAATGGTCTGTTCCACCTTGTGATGTCAAGAAGTGGTAATTTTCAGGTAAACAGCTACTTTTTATTTTATTTTATTTTTTACATTTAGTTCAGTAGATATTGCAACTCCAGCGCTGAAACTATCCTTATGATTCTAGTAGTGTTGTAGTACTCAAGACCAGTCTTTGTCTCAAGACCAGCCTTGAGACTGCTTTTTATGGTCTTGGTCTCGTCTTGGACTTGAGTGCCTTTGGGCTCGATCTAGTCTTGGTCTTGATGGTGCTTGGTCTCAATCTTGTCTCGGACTTGAGGTCTGACACTCGAAGAGTGCGATCATATTTCATTATGGATGGTAAATGTGCAGAATTTGCAAAATATCCAAATAATTTCCCTTGTGGATCAATAAAGTTTGTCTATGTTTAAGTCTAAGTCTAAAATAGCACTGCAAATCCAGTAAGATAATGTAACTGTTAATGTTATTAACTTGAAAAAACAAAAAATCACTGGATTAACTTTGAAGCAGTTTTCTGTAAAGTGCCTGTGGAAGTGGGATTAAAGAAGGGGTTCTCAAATGTGGGTGAGGGTACAAAAAAGGGGCACAGAGTGTTTCAGTTTGTTCATTAATCAGATAGAATGGAAAAAGATTTATAAAAACATTGATATATGTGTGCCAAAACAACTGTAAAATACAAAAAAATTTAGAAAATGACAAAGATGGTCTCGATTTGGTCTCAATGGGCTGCGGTCTTCGTCTTGTCTCCGTCTCGACCTTTAAAAGTCTTGGTCTTGTCTCAGTCTTGACTCTTAGAGGTCTTGGCCCTGTCCTGTTCTCGGGAGCCTGTGATCTCGGACTGGTCTTGGTCTCGATTAGCGCGGTCTTGACTACAACTTTAGATTCTAATAAACCTGTATGGAGTTTAAAACCACAGTGGAGCACTTCCTGTATTCTGTTTGAGAGAAGAACTCAGCCTAAATAAGCAGGTTTTGTGTGTTAAACATGTATAAATGAAACAAAACACAACTCCAGGTCTGTTTTTGATGAGGAAACATTATAAAACCAGATCAGAAAACAGCGTAATATGGGCCCTTTAAGAGAAGTCAGGGCTATCAAAAGGGTCAAACGCAGAGATAGAAGTATAGGGTCGATCAGATAAAGTTGTAAGAGCTTGTATTGTTACGCATTTGGCACTTGGCCGATCATTAATGTGTCTTTGAGGATGCTATTTCTTCATTCACCTTGAAGTAATCGTTCGATCTTTAGGTTTAGGTTCCACTCCCCAGTCTCGCAAACTGATGACAAAACAAAACAAAACAAAACACTACTGTCTTTTTAAAGCTAAATATATTTGGTACGTTTTCAATCTTTGTATAACTTATATTGTTTGCATTGCGTAACTTAGTTCTGGCATGTTTTAGTAAACCAGTTTGGAGATGTTAGCCATCTATAAACAACTGAAGGTAACGAGGAAGTTTAGGCTACTGGTGGATATTCATGGGTTTCTGGATTATTGGAACCATAGATACTCTAATATCATTGAATGTTGTTTTGAAAATGTGCAAAAAATGAATATTGAAGATGCAATATATACACAAAAAGAACTGATTTAAAATGTAAATGGCAAAAGGTGCACTGTGCAACTTTTCTGGTGGAGAATCTGTACTTTTCTTCAAGTTACTGCTTTGTTTGGAATGTTTCACAGTATGGCATTAAACCTTTCTATCTTCATGGAAACCAAACCAGGCCAAGTTACAGGTCAGATCTGTGGAGAGATGACCCCGCTCACAGTCAGAATGCCTGTTTTTCTAGGTATTTTTGAGATATAAAACCACCTGTAATTGAATAAATGTAAAGTAGAGCTGTTTAATGTCATACTGTGGAACATTCCAGGCAGAGCAATGACATCTCCATAGAAACAAGAAGGTGATGGACTCTCAGTCAGGTTACAGAATGCACCTTTAAAGACAGGTTTAAGCACATTTCTGTTGGATTAACATATTATCATCTAAAAAATATAGCCTACATTTTTGTGAATATTGTCCACTCCAAGCTCCTAAACTTGCTGAGAGTTGAACCCATGGATCTATAATAAAAACTGGATAAGGTGTTCCCCCTATGTCCTGGCTTGAGACCGACTAGTGGCCACTCCAGGTACTGCAGCTCCCGGGAGCTTGGGGCCAGAAAGAATTCTCCCATGCAAGCGTAATGCATTTTTTTGGGAATTCAAACTGCCCATGTTTAGCTGACAGAGCATCGACAACTCTCACAAAGGTTGGATTTTGTAGGGATACTTTTCTTTTTTCATAACCTAAACTTTTTAAATTTATATCCTTAAAATTGGCTTTGTAAGACTTAGCCCCACTATTGTTGGGCCCATACTAGGGTGACCAGACATCCCTATTTACCCGGGACAGTCCCAGTTTTGAGCCCTGTGTCCTCTGTCCCAGCAGATTTATACAAAACCAGTGATTTGTCCCAGTTTTATACAAGAAATGTCCCACGTGTCCCTATTTTTGACCAATCTGATCCCTGCCAACAGGAAAGAGAGGCATAACTTGTCATTTGTTTAGGTAAAATGCAGAAAAGCTGCTTAAAAATGACCAAAACACAAAGAAAATGTGAATATACTGACTCACATTAGTGCCGAGAGCATAACAGTTTTCCTTAATTACGCACTCATTTCACAATTTTATTATTACCGACCAACTCAAACCAGGGATGTCTCAGTTTTTTATTCTGAAAATCTGGTCACCCAGGCCACTGAAAACAATACAACGCCGTTTTGGATTCACCTTCCAGATTTTATTATAGCTCTATAGTTAAACCCCAATCCAAGCGTTCAAATGGAAATCGAAAAAGGACAACTAATATTGAGTATGTGTCTAGCTATTGTCTGAAAGTATAACTAATAGCTGTAGCGGATAATATGTATACTAGTCTAGCGGAGATACTGTTTAATATAACCTACCATAAACAGAAAGCTTGTCTGAATTTTGCTAAACATTACTATAGCTAGAGAGACACAAGCCAATATGCTGGTGCCAGTCTCGGTGGATAAAGGGAGGGCATCTGGCATAAACCCTATGCTAAATTAAAAAGGTGCACTGTGTAACTTTTGTGGTTAGTTGCCACCATGAAGATGCTACTGCTTTACCTCCAATATTCCAATGTAAGGTATTACATTTTTCAGTCTCCATAGAAACAAGCAGGAGACACCATCAGGGCAATTTACAGGTGAGATCTGCAAAGAGGTGACCACGCTCACAGTCAGAATGTATGTTTTTAAAGGTATTTTAGAGCAATAAAAACACCCATAATTGAATAAATGCATCTTTTCTATGTTTAATACCATATTGTGGTTTAACAGACATCAACGCATTCCCTCTGTTTTACTTTCCCTTCACTGACTGCCTGTGTGTTTTAGAATTGATTTTAAGAGTTTACTGATCACTTTTAAGGCTCCTTTTGGTCTTGCACCAAGTTATATTTCAAAACTTTTAACCTTGTATGAGCCTCCCGCAGCCTTAGATCCTCAGACAGGTCCCTGTGGCTGTTCCAAAGTCCAGACTCTGCCTGAAGAAACAAGGCTCACACCATCAGTATCATCTTTTAAATCACTTCTGAAGACTCATTTTTATCAGTTGGCCTTCCTTTAACTGGATTTAGCTTGATTTTAGTCCTTATTTTATTTATTTATTATAATTTATTGGATTGATTGCATCATGGTCTGTTTTTTTTTGCCTTCTGTGTGCTAGTTTTACGCTTTTTACATTGTTCTTAGCTGCTTGTACAGCACTTTGTAAACCTTATTTTTAAAAGTGCTTTATAAATAAAGCTTTATTATTATTATTTATTATTATTGGAGAACATTACAGGCAAATCAAGAGCATCTCCATGGTAGCAGACCCCCAACCTGAAAAAATACGCGGTGCACCTTTAAGTCTACAGAAGATGGATAAATAAAAAATATGGAAAAGTGCTCAAGTGAATTTGCTCGATATTGTATACAGACACATTGCAGCCATTTTGTATTTTCTAAGGCACACTAAACTATCGATGTTGTATTCTTCATGCAGACATATTTGGTAACCCAATGTACACCGTTTGATCCTTAAAATAGCCCCCTTCTCTGATTGGTCAGCACAAAAGCCATTCAGGCGTTCAAACATTCAAGTTCTCCCAGTTACTTCTTACTTTTCTTGTTCACTACAAAATAAATGATTCACGTATTCAGATTGGCACCTCTTATTCTAGTATCGTTTCTCCATTCGTCTCAGTACATTTCATGGTCTTGTGTGATGCGTTGAGTTTCAGAGATGTGTGTCCTGCTCCTCCTCTTCCTCCTCGGTCGCCGCCTGATTCACAAACACCTGAGAATGAGAAGAAAGTAAAATGAATAAATAAAAGAATAATATTTTAGTTTCTTTGCAAAATTATGATGTATAATTTGCATTTGTATGTTAGATTTGATTAAACTCACAGTAGTATTGTCACGATAAAATTTCAAACTTGATTTAAATACTAAGGAATAGACTCGATACTCGATTCTGATATCAAAAGAATTCATTTTCAACATTAAATCGTAGTACTTTCGTTTATATCACCATTCAACAGTTTATCTGTGTGATCCTTCAGTGGTCCAGGTAGGTTCCACAGTGGTCCATGGGCGATACTAGTCTAAGTGCTCTTATATTTGTTCTAATACGGCTCAAAATCATTCTAAAGCTTCAGGAAAGGTTCATTTCTGTCCTGTGAATGTGATTTTTTAGTATCAATACCTGCTCAAATGAGTATCTAGTTTCGATACTTGATAAGGATCTGAATTTTGATTCTTTTGACAACCGTAAGTCAAACTGTGTTCCTAGCCTCTCTCAAAAAGTCACAAGGAACTGATAGCACCAGGATGGCCGAGTGGTTAAGGCGTTGGACTTAAGATCCAATGGACAGAAGTCCTCGTGGGTTCGAACCCCACTCCTGGTAGAGTTTATATAAATACTGCTAGTTATAAGCTACTTGTTCATCACTAAAATAATGGTTCTGTCAAAGAAGTAAAACTGTGAGACTAGAAGAAGTCTAGTGAGAGAGCAAAAAAACCAACAGCAATTTTCACCAACATAACTAGGAGACAGATGCCTCGTTCTGAAGACAACTGTTCAAATAAACAAGTCCACAGAAGAGTAGAGTAGAGTTTAGACTGAAGTTTGGTAGGAACTGGGTCAAAACATAACTCTTACCTGCTCCAGTCACTGACCAAACTGAATGTATATTTAATTGATTAAATGTCCCACACAAAACTGACTCTTGTGAGTTTTAAGCCATGTTATAATGCTGCTACCACCTCAAAAACACACCTAAAGAAGCTACATGATGAGTTCAATCCCCAATCCAGGTAGATTTTAACCACATGTGAATAAATTATAAAAATGTGAGTGGGTTATAGACTATGTTTCTCAAAGTAAAAATCCAAAGTATAGGCTCTATGTACGCTTACATCACAAACCAGGAAGACAGTTGGAAACAGGCGATGACAACTTCCGGCAGGCTCTGTTCACGGTAGTCTAACAAAATCTAGGAAAAATAAGGAAATGGCCCAGTTTTTGTCATGTTCGCCTAATCAACAATTACAACCATACCTCAGTTTTCATAATTTTCCCACTTACAGACAACTCTGAGCGCACTGGATTCATAACATTAGAAGAGATGAGGCCAAATTCAAGATTATTCCAAACAGCACATATGTATGCAGTCTTCATTTTACCGCTGTGTCGGTCACTACACCGGAAGTTGTCATCGCATGTTTCCAAACGTCTTCCTGGTTTGTGACGTAAGCGTGATTACAGCCTATTCTAGTTTTCTATAGAGGGATTATCAGACTAGGTCACTTGCTGTTCTACTCCCAGGGGGGTGGGGCCAGGTGTGTCCATCAGGTATGAATGGAGGTCCAGCTACTGAAGTTCGGGCCATTTCTTCTCGTCATTTACGCACTCACCTGCATTTAACGCATATGGGCCATCAAGACGTATTCCACTCACTAATGTTCATTTAGCAGCAAAAAAAAAAAAAAAAATCACACACTGTTAAACTCTTTTAGTGCACTGACAACGTTGTTAGCTGTCGTTGCAACTTCATGTTAACTGCGCAGACATGGCACTTTCTGTAATCAGGTTGTGCGCGCCGCCGCTGTGCTGATAAACAAATAATCCGTTTATAGAGCTTGGGAAGGCTCATCACAAAACAACCATTACTATCGAAATCCACTATGTTGTTTCTGGGATTAGTGCATAACGCTTAGCCCATTATTTTTCAAACTGTGGTACGTATACTTGAACATACATACTCTTCCGTTTGCGGCTTTGCCTAATTTTAACCCCTTTTTCTGTTCTCCTTTGGATAATTTCTTATTTAGACCTACAGCGGAAATAATGTAATCCACTTTTAGACCTGGTTTAGCCCTGGATTAGACCTTTAATCGTCCTGGTATAGACTTGTATTAGATCTGAGGTATCGTGGTACATGGAAAGTGAAATCTCTTTGGTTGCTACTTGGTGTGAAAAGCTTGAGAGTCTCTGCATTAGCCTAAAAAAACTAAATTAAAGGGGGATAAAGTGTCGATAAAGCAGAGTGAATATTTGCAGATCATATGGATACAAAGGTCAGAGCTACCAGAAAGAAGACCTAGAGAAGTTGATGTGACCTCCTCTGTCTCTCAGATCTTCAGTCGGTGCACATACCTGCCAGCGCCGCCCCTCCTCCGCCCCCTCTCCTCTCTCGGCTCCGCCTCCTCCCGCTGTAGTCCCGCCCCCTGAGCCTTGCTGCAGTCCGTTAGAACTGGGTTTCTTCTCTTGCATCTCGCTCTGGTTGTCGTTGGTCACGTCCAGAGTGGGGTTATCGTGGCACGCGTTCTCGACAAAGTGAAGTTCCTCGGCTCTGAACTGTGGACAAAAGTCACAGTATGTTCGGGAATCATTTATAGCCAATATTATATAAACAGTATGGCAATAATAGGAATAAAATCTACACTAACACATCTAGGAAGGCCGAGTGGTTAAGGCTGGTAGAGTTTCACTTTGATTGGTAGACAAAAATAAGTGAATTACAGATAAGTTTCCCGAGTGGATCTGAGCTGCCGTATATGTGCCTGAACTAAACCTAATAATAGTGTGAGCATTGTTGCATAGGTTCTTTATACTCAACATGGGCGTGTTTTTGTGCGTATTCTCCTTGAATGATCTGCTCATGCTGTGGTCTCTTACCGTGGTCTTGGCGGGAAGGCGGCGTTGCCAGCAGATGTAGATGAACCCTGATGTGATGATGATGGTGCAGACGGAGCCGATGATCACCAGGACTATAAACAGTTTGCCATAGTCGCTCCGGGTCTGACTGGGACGGGCCTGGCAGCTGGAGGCAGAGCTGTAGTTTTGGATACCGACCTGCAGGAGGCGCACACACCCAACATACACATAAGGTCAGACCCGAGCAGGTTGTGGCCCACACTCTTACAGCGTAGTAATGCATTACAATAATCTGTAATCTACAGAAGTGTCTGAGCATTTGTTACATCTTTGGTCATGTTGCTCCTTCCCTCCCTCACATGCCTCAGTTTGAATATTCAAATTATTGCCCACCCCCATGTTAGTCTGTACTGAAAATCTTCCGCAGCCTGTGGAAGGCTCCATTCAACCCCTGCTCTTTCAGCAAGTTGTCAGCACCTGAACCATGCTGCTTGTGAGAAGATCCCTGGGCTAAAAGGAGAGACTCAAGAATAAAATAACCCCAAATTCTGCTCAAATTTTAAGATTTACATCCATTGCCATGCTTGTTTTGTTTCATGGTGGTGCATCGCCACTGGCATCTACCCATCCAACATTATTCTTGTAAATAATTTAGATTTTCTCCCACAGAGGGTAATGAGGCAGTACTGACAATATAACGTTTTGAGATGAGAGCAGATTGGGTGCATGTAGGTCCACTATTGCTTCATTTTACAGACCAAAAAACAATCTTGCAGTAAATCATTCGACATTTATGTTTACAATTTGTATTTTTTAGAAATAACATATGCACCTTGTCTAAGCTTTTCCTGATCTCCCCCAACATGTCCAGGACATCTTTGGTGGCGATCACTCCTGGAACAGTTGAATAACAGCATTAGACAGACTGTACAGGACTGGTATAAAGACAGTAATGACAGTAATAACAACAGTAGTGGTAGTGGTAGTAGTAGTAGTAGTAGTAGCAGCAGTAGTCTTTGTACCCTGCTCTGAGGCCACGTTCATCAGCAGCTGGCGTTGCTGGTGCACAGGTTTGCTCAGGTAAAGTACCCATGATCCTTCAGGGCTGTTCATTCTGCGAGCGAAAACTCTCTCCAGGATCCTCAACAGACGCACGCCTTTGTCTGCACGAAACTCCTCCTGTCACAAATCACAGCGAGAAATACTGATTTAAGGAGGAGAGAAATGACTACGCCACTGTCAGTTTTATTTATTTCCTTTGCTGCCTCGCATTTTGTTGTTATTTGTATTCTAATTATTCTGGTTTTAAAATTTGCTGTATAAATAAACCAGATTTGGATATTGTAGAGAACATGTGTGACCAGGATGGCTGAATGGTTAAGGTGTTGGACTTAGGATCCATTGGGCAGTAGTCCTCATGGGTTCGAACCCCACTCCTGGTAGAGCTCTCCTTTAGGCTGAAGTTTGGTAGGAACTTGTATCAAAGCATAAATCTTACCAGCTCCAATCACTGACCAAACTTTGATCAATTAAATATCTGAAGAAACCCTTAAAGGTCCAATATTACACAAATTTAAATCTATATATCTCTAAGTGAATACTGTTCAATATCGTGAACTTACTGGCCAAAATTCAAAAAAGCATAAGTCTTTAATAGTCTAGTTATTAGAATTAATAACTAGAATTAGACTGATAATACTGTTATAGATACTGACAGAAATCCACTCATATTTCTTACATTTGGCCTGTATTATGCTTTGAATCTTATCTCCTCCGTTCACTTACACAGTTGAGGTTCTTGGTCATATTGAGGACCACATATCCTCGTCCAGCCAGCTCTGTCCAGTCAATGCACACCACCTGAGAAGAAAAAGAAAATAAAGTTACCCAAATTGCAGGCACAGTCACTAATTTCTTAGACCTATGACCAGAAGGTTGTCAGTTTGAATCTTGCACTGTCCACCTTATAATGCTCTTGTGTCTTAAGCAATGCATCAAATTCTATATTGTCTTCATTATATTGTTTTAATTTTACTTGTTTGTTAATATAACTATTGCCCGTTTTACTGTACATTTTATTCTTGACATCGTAAATGTAACACATTTTTATTGTGTAATGATTATTTTTAAGAGGACCCCAGGAACTCTAGCAGCCCTTTTACAGGCAGCTAATGGGGATCCTAATAGACCAATAAAACAATATTTAATACTATTTTATTAGTAGCTGAAATTTTTGCATAAAATAATTCTCTCTCCATAACCAAAGGAACAAAATTTCTACAAAAACAAGCAGGCCAGGTAAGAGTCAAGTGTGTGGAGAGGCAGAGTTTGTGGAGTTTTTTTCAGTACATTAAAATCCAAAATAAAATAAATAAATACATAAAAAACTGAATATTTTTTGAGTAAAAAGTCATACAATATCGACTTAAAATTGATGCTTATTGCTGTAATGTTGATTAATGTACATGGTCTAAGTAAAAATTAAGAAGTGATATTGTGTTCAGAATTACCTGTTGCTCTGGTCCCATTTCTCCAAATTCTCTGTTAGGAACCATGACCTCAGTGACTCCTCCGACCTCTGAACTCTGATCTGGAGGGGGTGACGTGTTCTCCGGCCAATCCCAAGACGGTTCAGTTCCTGAGCAAAAGAATTGGAATTTAGATTTGTAAAGGTGCACTGTGTAAGACAAAGCATTAACGTCTCCATGGAGAAAAGCCTTTGACGGACCATCCACCAGAAAAGTTATACAATACACCTTCAGTAAATTCAAATTTTGAGGTATAGAAACAGCTCTGACTAAGTGCTGGGAATCTTCTGCCTGGCAAATCTAAGAATAAATCTCTGTATAAAAAATATCACACAGAGATATCAGTCTGGTCCCCCCGGCCTCCATCGCCTCTCGAGACAAAACCAAATATGATCCTGCAATCAGATTTGTTTATTTCAGTGGCATGAAAGAGCTTATTGGTCACACATCATTTTGTCTAATTTATTTTCTTGTAAGCAGCTGTATTTGTTGGGCTAGTGTCTGCGTCATCTGCTGGTAATAGTGGAAGTGAACTGAGTAAAAGTAGAAAGAGAAAGTTTTACCAACATAATGTGAGCAGATAGAAGACTCGTGGTGAAAACAAGTGCTACAATAACTGTGACTGGGCACAGTGACAGTTTCAAAAGAAAGGACTGCTGGAGCTGTTGGAGCTTAAAGCTGGTTTCTCTGCTCACAAAGTTTCACTGATGTATTCAACAATCCTGCAACAGTCTGGGAAAATAATGTTAAAATCTTGGACGTGATGTTGGGAGAAAACCTGAGGCAGTGCCCAAATACAGAGTTTCAAAAGAAATTATAAAGAGTTTTTGCTTTTGTGATATAAGTGTGAGTGATAGCACTGGGTAATCTAAAAAAAAAAAAAAGAAAAGTATATATGCATATATATATATATCTGTGTGTATGTATGGGTGTCTGTATGTGTCTGTATGTGTATATATATGTATTATATATGTATATGAATATATGTGTGTGTATAGTACAAAAACTATATTTAGGGGTTAAAACTATATTTAGTATGCATAGTATGTAATTTATTTTGCTATACGTAAATATTATTAAAGCTCCGTGATCAATAAACATAAGCAACCACATCATTTTTAAAACTATGCAATGAACAGGGGTGGGTTAATATAAGTTTTTCTTCTTCCCACTCCTTTTTAAATAATGTACTTCTGTTGTTTACAGTGTATATGTAGAATGCGTGACAAGCTCATTAAACACAGTCCTGTCACCAGGATGGCCGAGTGGTTGCGGCATTGGACTTATGATCCAATGGACAGAAGTCCTTGGAGGTTCAAACCCCACTCCTGGTAGAGTTTATGTGTAAATTGCTTGTTTCTATATACTTTCACAACAACTTGCAGTTTTAGGCCATAGACTGTACTATAAAAAAATGGACTAAGTGAGTGTGATGTCACCCATAGCATTCAGCTCAGCTCAAATGAAGTTTGCAATGCTAACAGTTACAGGAGTGAGCTTCTAAACTTTTTTAACAGACAAAATAGTGAAATAAAAACACCAGGGTCATGTAGAGTGGGTTAATACAAACATTTTAAGACCAAAGTGATGAGGCTCACTGCAGCAGTTACAGAGAGAGGGGTGACAATTTCTCAATGTAATGTCAATTGGAGCCAGAGTTGATGGAGCCAGAAGCGCCCCTATGTTCTCTTCCTTTTTGTAATGTGGCAGCTAGCGGGTTAGCTATGTCCATTTATACTGTATATGCTGTCTATGCTTCAGGCCAATGCAGGTTTCTCCTATTGGGCTGTAATTATCTAAAGATACAGTATGTCCTGCCGATCGATTTGTGGACTAAAAGGGAGTGTGGTAAAAGCTCTCAAAACTACTGCGGATCTCTGATGTATCTGACCCAAACTGTACTTACAAGACTACATCTGCAGGGGGAGATCATTAAAGCAGAAAAAAGGCACTGCCACTGGATAAAGACAGATTTAACGTGAATCATATGTTTAATCTGCTTTCAAACAAATAAACAAACAAAAAAATCTAATCTTCACACACTGCACACAAATCACAAACCCACTCACACTTTCTGCTACTGTCTCAATTAAATCCTTATAATCTTAATAAAATGATTAGTCACCAAAAACTAATTTTGGTTGACTAAGGTTCCACATTATCCAAAATTGACTCTTGTGAGCTTTAAGTCATGTTAGAATGTCGTTACCTCATGAAAAACATCCCCGGAGCTGTGTTTTGTTTTATTCATACATGACTAAGCCCAATCCAAAGTAGTAGTAGTTTTAACACCTACCTTTTACCTTTTGTTCAGTAATAATTGTCAATTTCAGGGCTAAAATCATCCTAATGATTCTAGTGACAATGTATTACCACATGACATCACATGATCACAAGGTCGAGCACAGTGTTTTCTGTTTGAGAGAAACAGTCAGCCTAAATATGTAGGGTTTGTGTGTTAAACATGTGTGAATGAAAACAAAACACAACTCCAGGTCTGTTTTTGATGACTAAACAACATTAAAACATAGATCAGTAGCGTAATATGGGCCCTTTAAGCTCTGGGTCTAAAAGATGACAGTCCAGGGGCCTTCCATGTCATAGTTCTAGTTCATATCTCACCTTTAAACTGGCCTGGCCCCTCTCTCTCCTCCTGCTGCACACTGGGGGGGAGGGGCCCTCTGCTCGGGGCGGGGGCCAGTCCTGGGGCAGTGGGGTCCGGTGTGGAGACTCCTCTGAAGGGCAGTCCTGTGTCCTCCTGGAGCTCCTTCTCTCGCTCCGTCTCTGCCTCATCCTCTACATCTGCTACAACGGACAGGACAGACAAAGAGAAGACAGTGAATAAAGGTGCACTATGTCACTTTGCTCCCTGTTAGTATTGTTTTGCCTGGAATGTTAGGAAGTTACAGGTTAGAGCTGTGGAGAGGGGACACACCTCACAGTAAGAATGCTTGTTTCTGAAGCATTATTTTTGAGCAATGCAAACATCTGTAGTTGAATAAATGTGAGACAGACAAATTTAATGCTATACAAGGCTAAACATCTCTATGGCGACAAGCAGATAGTGGGCCCTCCTCCTTAAAAGTTACATACTGCACCTTTAAACAACTGCAACCACAATAATTAATATTGTTAGGCCTATTATCTTCTCATTAAACATCCTATTAAAGGTCTGTGTGGGACAGAATTTTCAGTCCCATTCCTGTCTGCGCCCACAAAGAATTACAATTTTCATTCCCGCTCCCACCTGCATCTGAAATATTTTGTCCCGCTCCCGCCTGCAAATCCTGCAAGACGGGGATGTTTGCTTTCTTAAGCTCTATCAAACATGAAGAAGTGGAAAGGAATTGCCTAAAATGTGTGCGAGATTAGACACATCCGCAAATTTAGGCTGCTTAAAATGTTTGTATTAATGCCAAATAAAATATCCAGCACAAATGATGTATGACAGGCATACATGAATCATTTGTATATTTTACTTTACACCTTTATATTTAGTTTGCAGGACTGCATCTTATCATCGCACCTGCCCGCTCCTGCATTATGCAGTCCCACTCCCGCCCGCAATGAGCTTTCAAAATGTGTCCACACCACACTGACTCTGCATCCTACATTATGCAAAACTGACTCTTGTGAGCTTTAAGCCATGTTATAATGTTGCTACCTTCTCAAAAACAAACCTGGAGTTGCGTTTTGTTTTGAGTAATCCTTTGTTATTAGTCTGTCTACGTCTTCGGAGGTAGTTTTCACATTAACAGCTACCATTTACTTTTAGTTCCATAGAGATGGGCAATTCCAGAGTTGAAATTATCCAAATGATTCTAGTGAAGGTGTATGGACTTAAAAAAAAAATTAAAAAATCATCTTGTATTGCCATGAAATCAGAAAGTGGAGCAGGGTGTTTTCTGTTTGAGAGAAGAACTCATCCTAAATATGCAGGATTTGAGTGTTGAACAAGTGTGAATGAAACAAAACACAACTCCAGGTATGTTTTTGATAAGGAAAGAACATTATAACTGATCATAAAGCCCTTTAAGCTACAAAACAACTGAAGCAAGATCAAACACAGTGTATGACCTGGAGTACCTTTGCCGTAGGGGACCAGCAGGCCGAAGTCTGTGCCTGTGTCGGTCTCTGGAGTAGAAGTCCCGGTGCTTTGGTCCACAGGAGGAGGGGAGGAGCTGGAGGGGATACTGGACACTGTAGAGGAGGAGTGCAGGCTTCCATATCCACTGGACTGGCTGTCCTCTGTCTCCCACGCTGCTTTATCCAACTGAGACACCTGACAAGTACAAAAGTCTGATTCATATACACTACAAGGGATCAGATACTTTTAATGCCATACTGTGAAACATTCCAGACAAAGCAATAACATCAACAGCATTTGACGGACCCTCCACCACAAAAGTTTCACGATGTACCTTTAAGTACAATCCTTATAAACCATTTGTATTGGTAAAAGACATAGGATGCAATAAATAAATAGCAAAATTAAACAATAATTAGATATAAAGTTACTTATTCAGTGATTTATTGAATAATATAGAAGTTGATATAGTAATGACTGCTTATATTACTACGTCTTAACAAAATAAAATAAATAAAAACAAGTAACATAAGCACCAGGATGGCCGAGTGGTTAAGGCGTTGGACTTAAGATCCAATGGACTGAAGTCCTCGTGGGTTCAAACCCCACTCCTGGTAGAGTTTATGTAAATACTGCTAAAGTTATAAGCTACTTGTTCTTCACTAAATTGATGCATCTGCTAATAAAGTGAAACTGTGAGACTAGAAGAAGTCTAGTGAGAGAGCAAAAAAGCAACAGTGCCTTTTACCAACATAACTAGGAGACAGATGCCTCGTTCTGAAGACAACTGTTCAAATAAACAAGTCCACAGAAGAAGTGTGGTCATTCAAAATGTGTATTCTCACTCTCTCTGTGTGGGAAAAGGCACCAACTATTTTTGAAGTGAAAAGAAATTATGTATTTCTTAGGACACAGTATTTTATAACCAGGATGGCCAAGTGGTTAAGGCATTGGACTTAAGATCCAATGGGCTGCAGCCCTCGAGGGTTTGAACCCCACTCCTGATAGAAATATGTTTAAGGGGCATTAGTTTAGTGAAGCCTGAGTAAATATACAACAAATGAGAGGGAAATCTGGACTGTATGTATGTATGTACATATGTAGTGTCACAGAGCCTGGACCACAAGGGAAAGGTTTTGTATTTCAGTTTGTGGAGTCAAAATCTGGAACTTTATGAGTCATGAGCTCAAAAAAATGTCTAAATAGGAAAATGTTTAAACATAGATATAAAGAAATTATTCTAGCTACCTGTGCAGAAGAAGGAATTAAAGTTTATTTGTCATCTCAATGTAAACGACACTATATTTATTTTTGTATCTGGAGTAATGTGACTTACTGTAAGAGTCTGGCAGAAGCACATTATTGCTTTAATGGGATTGTAAAAGCGGGTGGGGGTAGATAAGCGGTACTTCTCGCCACTCCTTTTCGGAATGACAGATTTTTATTTTATTTTATTTTATTTTGGAGACTACAGTTGTGATGGGCAATGTAAAATAATTGCCTTTATGTATCTGTTGATTACTGCAATTTATCATGTATGGAAACATCCGAATAAACTTCAGAGTTCAGTACAGTTCAGATGCAGAATTATAAACACATTTTTTTAAAAAAGATTTTATATCACACAAACTTGACTCTTCTGAGCTTTAAGACACGTTATAATGTTGTTAGCTCCTCAAAAACAGACCTGGAGTTGTGTTTTGTTTCACACAAGTTTGAGTAATTTCTTATTATTAGTCTGTCAGATCTCAAAATACTCTGATCCACCTTGTGACGTCATGAAGCGAGAGTTTTCACATTCCTTTTACCTTTAGTTGAATAGAAATAGACAGTTCCAGGACTGAAATCATCCAAATGATTCTAGTGAAGGTGTATGGAGCACTTCCTGTATTACCACATGATATCACAAGGTGGAACAGAGTGTTTTCTGTTTGACAAAAGCCTAAATATGCAGAATTTCTGTGTTAAACATGTGTGAATGAAACAAAACACAACTCCAGGTCTGTTTTTGGTGAGGAAACAACATTAAAACATAGATCAGAATCTAACACAATATGGACCCTTTAATATCTATTTCTCTGTAGCGTCGCACTGGACTGACATATGTCAAATCCTCAGACATTTGTGACAGAATTAAGCAGTTAGACGCTAATCAAATCATGGGTTGCCAGGTTAGTAGGTAAGCGCCGAGCTACACCTGGCTAAGTCTTATCCACTTAAGTCCATCTGCGGCTGCTCTGCTCACAGTTCAAACAACACCTCCCAATGTTTTATGTTAGGAAAGACTGATTTTGTTAGTATTTTTCTACAGGAAATGCATCAAAAACTACATTTGTTAAATAGATGTGTTTTCAATACTTCTAAACGGTTAGTCTTAATACTTAACCATTTTGAAATAGTAAGATAATTGTTATTTTTTAAAATTATTTGCCCTTAAATGTATTATTATAGTATTGAGTTTGATGTTCGTGAATGTATCTTGAAGTTTTGAATGAATATTGTTGTTGGAGAGAATAAGAGGAATTGAGAAAATGCAGGGTTTGTGTGTTAAACATGGGTGAATGAAACAAAACACAACTCCAGGTTTGTTTGTGATGCATAAATCAGAAAATAGCGTAATATGGGCCCTTAAAATAATATTTCTGACACTGTATTTAATTTCAGTTGTTAGTTTAAGCTCTGTGTTTCTCCTCACCTCCAGGACAGCGGGGGCACGGTGCTCCTGAACCCCAGCGTCGTGCTCCTGGTCCAGGCTGGAGATGCTGGACTCGTGCTGGGGGTCCTGGAGGGAAGAGCTGTATCCTGAAACACAAAGAGAACTGTCAGGAACACACGTCTAATTGAACCAGCCGCTGATGGATGCAGGAGGTTTTGACACAAGGCTTTGGGTAGAAAATGAAAAGATAAACCAACTAGAAATAATAAACAAACTAACCATGCACTGAGTAATTCCAATTAGAAGACTTAACTTTATTTGAGCAGATTTCACTCGAAGTAAAATTATCTACAAATGGATTAAGTGTGTTATTCCTAATTTAAAAATGTCAAATGATCAGTCTTTATTTATTACATTTTTATGAGGTATTAACTGCCAAAACACAGGCCCGTCGACAGAGATTTAGGGGCCCGGAGTAAGAAGTGTCACATGGGCCCCCCTCTAATATAAATTAATAGGAGGAGGGTCCAATTCTGGGCTCCTAAAACTCTGGGGAACAGGACAACAGATACCTTCGCCCCCTCTTCGTTGTATTCACTGAAAACGATCTATTAAAATGTTTATTAAGCTTCAGTTTTGCTTTTGGAACATACAATTTAGTTTCTATTTTAAGTGCAAACCGTTCTTTTTTCTTATCTTCAGTTTAAATTGGTGTATTTTCCTATTTCAGCTACAAAAAGGTAGATAATTTTACTTGTCATCTGATATCAACTCAAATCAATATGACATGTTCTGAATCTAAGTAATTTTACCTTGGTAAGATTTCGATTTTTATAGTGTTTGTCTGACTAGTGTTTTTGTAAGTATTTTTACTGCATACAGAGATGGGTAGTACAGTAATAAATGTTTGCCCATCAACAAGAAATTATTTATGGCAACACATGGGGATTAGTAGCCTGATTCATCGGCCGGTTTCACTTTGTGGAAACCGTCTGACCTTGCAGCATTAGGATTTGTTCGCTCGACGGTAAGTGGGTACTTTTCTCATTTAACTAATCGCTGCTATTTGGTCGTGATGTATGTAATGCTCCTCTAATGGGGTTAACTGGTACATTAAGCTTTTCCCAAATCCCGTAGGAAGAAGGACAATAATGTCTTTCCCCTTGATAAAATTCACCAAGCATTCTCTTTGTTCCGGCTTTAAATCCTTGAAATCGTTGCCAACAAAGAATGTATGGCTCTTCGCTGATTGGCTGGTGCCAGGATTCGCACTTCCGGGGATTTTACAAACTGTCTAGTGTATTCTGATTCCTGACCTAGTCGTGGAAGAGAAATGAAATTGAGTGGAGGCACTAGCACCAACTTGTGATATTGCATGTCTAAGCAGCGCCTACTGGCCTTCATGGTCATCACAACACACTTGCTTTATAAACTTAACCTCTTGCTTTTGTGAAGACAGAGTGCTAAATTGGGAAGCATCTACAACATCTTGATGTGACAGCAGTGTTACACACTAGTAGCTCCTGAGTGAGTCAGTTGTTAGAACTGTCCAGAAAGGGTGGGAGTAAGTGGAACCAAATGGATGGAGCCTTTTGATAAATTACTTCAATTCTCTTACAGTCTGCCAAGTGTTCGCACAAATGAAAGTCATTATTGTTTTAAATTGATTGATAAGGAGCTCATTACTTAAAATTAGGGATGCACTGACCATCTTATTTCCTTAAAACACAGTTACTTTATTATACACGGGGTCCAATTTTGTTATTGATGTAACTGTTATTTATCTTTCAAATGACCACTGAACTAGCCTGATTCATCAGTCGGTTTCACTTCATGGAAACCGCCTGACTTCGCAGCATTAGGATTCTTTCGCTTGACTGTAGGAGGGTACTTTTTTTATTTAACCAATCGCTGCTATTTGGTCATGATGTATGTAATGTGCCGGGAACATTCAGTGGTGTCCAAGTAATTGCCGGCACAGCAACAAACAAAGCAGAGACTGAACATGTCTGTCAACAATCAGTGTCGTTTCTGCAAGGTGAACTTGCGAAATTAAAAAATGCAAAGTTTGTATCATCTACATCCATCTCAACCGCTTTGTTTACTGTTCACAGCTCTTTGCTGATTGGCCGGTGCACGGTCTACAACTTCCGGGGTTCTTGCAAACCATCTAGTGTATTCTAATTCCTGACCTAGTCGCTGGAAAGAAATGAAACTGAGAGGAGGCACTAGGTAGCGCCAGCATGGCTACCACTGAACAGCTTTGAAGAAATAAAAGTTCAAACTTTCTGAGTCATTCTAGGCCAAAATCGGCCTGTAAATAAGCTTATTACAACCACTTAAAAGCCCAATCACAATATTGGCATAATTGATACCTGATCCAGCATTTTTTTTCGGTATCAGTGCTAATATGTGATACCAGTATCGGTATCAGTACATCCAGTGTATACTCACCAATAAGAGCATCCAGGTCTGGTGATGTGTGGTTGACTTCCAGATCATCCAAAAAGTGGGCGTCCTGTCCCTCTGTCTTCTTCTCTGTTGCTGTTGTCTGTCCATCCTCCGCTGTATCTCTGTCCCACTCCTCTCCTCCTCGCCTCTCTCTCTCCTCCGCTCCCTCCTCTACTGCTTTCATCTCCTCTCCTCCTTCCTCTCCCCCTCTCCTGTCTTTCTCCTCTCCTCCCTCCTCTCCCCTTCTTCTCTCCCTCTCCTCTCCCCACTCGTCTCCTGTCCTGTCTTCTGTGTCTGTCCCATAGAAGCCTGAAGCCTCCAGGGAGGTGTCTCCTGCTCCTGGCCCAGCAGTGAGCTCTGACTCTGGGTCAGCAGGATCAGACGGTCCCTGGTAGTCTTCTGGATCTTGCGGCACAGCGAGATGAACCATTCTCTGAAAAAAAAAAAAGAGATGTAAAGAAAGTTAATGTGCATAGAGTTAAAGCTTTAGACGTATAAATTGGCAGATGATGGAGGCATGAATGAATCAAACCTCAACTTCGTATAAGATTTTGAGGAAGAAAGAACTACTAAAGAAGACATATTGTGCAAAATTAACTTTTTTGAGCTTTTAACCATGTTATGATATTGCCCCCTCATCAAAAACATACCTGGAGTTGTTTTTTTGCTTCATTCATGCTTGTTTCATTAATCTCTTATTCCAAAGTCATCTGTGTGATCCACTGTTAAAAGGCTGTACATTAAAGACGACATATTGCGCTTGTGTCTGCTAGGACATTTTAAAATCACAATATTCATCTACTGCCAGACTGCTGTAGTGAAGAGGGTGCTGAGCTGAAAGGCAAAGCTCTCGATTTACCAGTCAGCCTACGTTCCTACTCTCAACTATGGTCATGAGCTCTGGGTAATAACCGAGAGGATGAGATTGCGGATACAAGACAAAATGTGTTTCCTCCGCAGAGTGGCTAGGTGCTCCCTTAGAGATAGGGTGAGGAGCTTAGTCACATGGGAGGAGCTCGGAGTAGAGCCGCTGCTCCTCCACGTCGAGAGGAGCAGCTGAGGTGACTTGAGCATCTTCCGAATGCCTCCTGGGTGCCTGCATTGGGAGGCCCCGGGGAAGACCCAGGACATGCTGGAGGGACTACGTATCTCGGCTGGACTGGAAATGACTTTAGGTCCCCCCAAAAGAGCTGGAGGAAGTGTCTGGGGTGAGGAAGATTTGGGAGTCCCTGCTTAGGCTGCTGCTCCCGCGACCCGGCCCCGGATAAGCAGAAGAAAATAGACGGATGGAATATTCATCTAAAATGTCAATCTAAAACTTAATATAAAAGAACATTGATTTCCTTGTGTCCAATTGGAGCTGACGTCGCTGTAGACGTCATCACAACAATTGCAGTTGATCACACTACCAAAATATCTATGTGACGCTGCCAAATCCTACACTTATCCCTGATTAAGAAAACAAAATTGGAGAACGGAGAAGAACATAGTGGGCGTATGCCACTGTCGGTGAAAACAGGGTTTGATAGAAGCAATAATACATTAAATACAATATATACATTATAAAAAATTACTCAAACATGCACAAATCAAACAAAATACAACTATGAGAGGGGAAAAGAAAAGTGGAAGACAACTATAACATTTAGCATCATAAGTCTGCTTTAACATTAGCACCCCCTCCCTACCCGGTTTGGTGCCCATGCCCATAATAACCCTGATTTAAAGCGTGTGCCCTCACCTCCATTTCGTCTTTCACTCCCAGGTTATCATCTAAGACTCTGTGATGTGGCGCGTTCTGATTGGTCCCTTTTTCCTCCGTATGGTTACTGGTCATCTCAGGTTTGGCCCCGGTCCTTGTGGTCTCGTGTATTTCAGGCCAGCCCATGTCGTGGACCAGGTGCGGCTGGGCTCTGACTAACTCCGGGGCCACCTGTCGCCGGGCTCGGACCAACTCCTGGATGAAGAAGGGATAAGTCTGGTCTTGGTCCTGGTCCAGACCTGATCCGGCAAAACTGAGGGGGATGACCCGTGGAGAGGAGTCCAGTCTGAAGGCACCGCCGCTGCTGCACACAAGAGCTGCAGAGGACACAAAGAAGAGTTTTGTTGTTTTAATACATGATACAGCAGTTGTTAAAAGTAATAAAGTGCAAAAGTAAAAGTGATGTAATTGTCTGCTAGGCCATAACTAGACAAAACCAAGTCTTCAAGGGGCTGTTACCTGATTTTTTATGTAGCCTAATAAAGTGAAATCTGTTTTGTCTAAGTATCTACATTGTGAAATATTGTTGTTGTTAGCAGAGGTGGGACCAAGTCTTTGTTTTGCAAGTCTCAAGTAAGTCTCAAGTCCTTAACCTCAAGTCCGAGTCAAATACAGGCAAGTCCAAATCGAGTCACTGGTCCATAAGTCTAAGTCAAGTCCAAGTCATCTGCTTTGAGCTTCAAGTCATTTCAAGCCTTTAAACCAAAATACCAAATATGGCTTAGATTTTTGCAATTTATAAGACTTTTAAGATAAATTGTACCTAAAAAATGATAGTATATTTAGGCTCAAAACATTTCTGTTTAACTGTGCATATAACTGAAAGGTTTTCATTCTGCACTCTTCTCTCCAATTAATGTCTCTCTTTTGTCATTTTAATCTTCATGACTATTTATGTTTTGGTTTGTTTTTATTATGATTTTAATGTATTTCTTATTCTGTAAAGCACTTTGAATTACTTTGTGTATGAATTGTGCTATACAAATAAACTTGCCTTGCCTATTTATATATGAGAATTTATAGAGTATATAAAAGTTGTAAAAATGAATTTAGTTAATTTTTCCTTTTTAAATGTCTTGACAAGATGTGAATCATTACAGTCAGAATAGAAAGAATTCAGATTTAAAAGTGCTTCTCATGTCTTCTCGAGTCACAGGCCTCAAGTCCAAGTCAAGTCCCAAATCACTAACCTTCAACTCCAAGTCGAGTCCCAAGTCTTAGTCCATTTTATCAAGTTAAGTCTCAAGTCCTAAAAATAGTGACTCAAGTCTGACTCAAGTCCAAGTCATGACTTGCAAGTCCTCACCTCTGATTGTTAGCTTTACTCTGAAGGCAATAGTTCACTCTGGCTTCTAATAAATTCATCATGGTGAATAATTAGGCTACTCAGAATATATTAAGAAGTAAAGAATAACTGGTTCTATTTCATCCTTTCTTCGAGATGACTATATGTAATTATACTTCTATGAATCCTGGTGTTTATGCAGGATTCATAAATCACTAGTTACATTCTAGGGATGTAACGATATCCAAATCTCTCAGTATGATATTATCATGATATGCAACTCACAGTATGATATTTATTGTGATATTTTGAAGAGGCTGATATAATTGTAGATAGGACAGTTTTTTGCTTTAAAAATACCTTGACACGATTTTGTTGTGAATTATTTCCATCATAATCCCAAGAATTCATGTAAAAAAACTATTTTTTTCATGTTGTTTGCACTGAAATGGGATATGTAGTTCCTTATGTTTAGCAAAGAAACTTGTAATTCAATATATTGTGACAGCGCACGATATTATTGTGAGACTTTTGACGATACGATATCCCGATATTTTGGTTATTGTTATATCCTTATCACATACATAACTTTCGATCGCTGGAAAGTTAGTTTGCAAATAGCAGGTACAGCACCTTTAAAGGTCTTATATTGGGCAAAAATTTACTCATCAGCTTTAAGGCACGTTATAATGTTGTTATCTCCTCGAAAACAGACCTGGATTTGTGTTTTGTTGCATTCACACATGTTTTGAGTAATCCTTTATTATTAGTCTGTCTATATCTGGAAAGCTCAAAATGCTCTTTTCCTGTTTTTTGTGACGTCATGTAGTGGTAATTTTCAAGTTACCAGCTACATTTTACCTTTAGTTCAGTAGAGATGGGAAATTTCCAAAGCTGAAAATCCTGTACCACATGACATAACAAGATGGACCAGAGAGTTTTCTGTTTGAGAGAAGAGCTAAATATGCAAGGTTTGTGTGTTAAACATGTGAGAATGAAACAAAACACAACTCCGGTAATATTTTTGATGAGGAAACAACATTATAACTTCAGAAAATAGTGAAATACAGGTCCTTTAAGTAAGATAAAAGGACCTCTTGTGTATTTCTTTCATATAACAAAGCTCCAACAAGAGACCCCAAAATCCCATTATAATATAGCATACAAAACAAACAATAAGCGAACGAGAATCGCTTGAAAGCTGAAACTCTTTCTTTGCAAACACACAGCAGCCATTTCAAGCATGTCTTAATAAAAAGCCAGCCATAATGAAAACCATGGCGCATTATGACAGTGAAGTTTCAGATCAAATCCATTTAACTCCATCCCTAACCAGATCTAGCATCGTTTGAGTTTTATTACAGAGAGACTAGACGGACTGCAGATAACGCCAGTCTGCATTAAACATCACAGATTAGATCTAGCGTCTTATCTGCTTCGCCGACCTTCAAATGGACCCACAGAGCTTCCATCATCTGAAGTTTATGCAGAACGTTATGAGGGCTGTGAATCATATTAATGGTGTAATTCGAGCTAAAACAATCAGTTCCTTCCTGCAGACTGGGACTCTCCTCTGTACTGGAGATGAAGCAATAATAATATGAATTTTGTGAAGTAGTATCGTCTCAAATGTGTTGCTCAGTTGCACACTTTTAAAACATTTTTGTGTTTGGAATATGGCAGTAATGGTGGCAGGAGTGTTGTTATCATACTAAAATTATAAATTGATTTTGATACTAAGGAATAGACTCGATACTCAATACCAGAGGTCGGACCAAGTCGTTGTTTTGCAAGTCTCAAGTCTTTGACCTCAAGTCCGAGTCAAGCCCTAAGTCGAAGACAGGCAAGGCCAAGTCGAATCTCGAGTCACTGGCCCATAAGTCCAAGTCAAGTCCAAGTCGTCTGCTTTGAGCTTCAAGAAATTTCAAGTCTTTAAACCAAAGTACCAAATATAGCTTAGATTATTGCAATTTATATGACTTTTAAGATAAATTGTACTTGAAACCAGGTCTTAAATGGGCTGTACCTGATTTTTTATGTAGCCTAATAAAGTGAAATTTGTTCCGTCCAAGTATCTACAGTGTGAAATATTGTGTACAGTCTGCACTTAATTATAAAGTGTTTTTATTGATGGAGAATTGTTGTTGTTAGCAGAGGTGGGACCAAGTCTTTGTTTTGCAAGTCTTAAGTAAGTATCAAATCTTTAACATCAAGTTCGAGCCAAATTCCAAGTCAAATACAGGCAAGACCAAGTCGAGTCCAAGTCATCTGCTTTGAGTGTCATTTCAAGTCTTTAACCTAAAGTACCAAATATAGCTTACATTTTTGCAATTTACATGACTTTTAAGATAAATTGTACTTCAAAAAATCATAGTGTATTTATATATGAGTATATATATGAGTTTATAGAGCATGTAAGAGTTGCAGAAATGTTATTTTTTCCTTTTTAAATGTCTTGACAAGATCTTAGTGTAAATCATTACGATCAGAATAGAAAGAATTCAGATTTAAAAGTGCTTCTCAAGTCCCAAAGTCCCCTGAAATCCCAAATCATTGCCCTTCAAGTCCAAGTCGAGTCCCAAGTCTTAGTCCATTTTATCAAGTCAAGTCTCAAGTCCTAAAAATAGTGACTCAAGTCTGACTTCAGTCCAAATCACAACTTGCCAGTCCCCACCTCTTCTCAATACTGATTCTAATAATGTCATTTTCGGGATTAAATCATAGTATTTTCTTTTATATTCCCATGTGGCCTTATATCTGTGTAATCCCTCAGTGGTCCAGGTAGGTGAGTGGTCCATGGGTGTATACTCGTCTATGTGCTCTTATACTTGTTCTGATACAGCTCAAGATCATTCTGAAGCTATTCACGAAAGGTTCATTTCTGTCCAGTTTTTCTGTATTAATAAGTGCTCAAAGGAGTATCTTTGATTTTATTTTATTAACGTTGTTTTTTGGATACTTCTGACAACCCTAGAGATCAGAAGAGACCTGTCAAGGCAAACCCCGTTCACAAAGCCTGATCTCGTCTCATCTCAGAAGTGAAGCATTGCTGGGCCTGGTCAGTACTTGGATGGGAGACTGCTGGGAATATCAGGTACAACAGTGGGGAGCTAGAGGCAAAAACAGTTTGCCTTGTGCTGTGTAATGTGCGTAATGGGGAGCTTGGGTACTGCGTGGCTACAATAGTAATTTACTACCACCAAGTGTGGAGTGAATGAATAATAAATGAAACATAAACCAGTTTCCTATAGCTCCATTTTAAACTATAGGGATTGTAGAATAACATGATCGCAACCTATTAAGCGTAAATTTGCAGCCAAGTGTAGCCATTGTCATAGTTGTACTCAAGTAGAACAAATCTTAATGACTGTCTCTGTGTCGCCGGGTAGAGTTGACTCCCAGCATGCCTTGGTGCTGTCTGGACCACAGATGGGCCGTGGTGACCTAAAGCTGTTTGAGCAGATTACTGTATGATGTCCACATGTCTGCGGCTCTGTCTCAAGTGTTAAGGCCGTGACACCCGCAGTCTGCCCGCAGCGTCACACATCCACTAACCCAGTTATGGATTCTCACCGCAGCAGCACAACCACCAGCCGCCTCAGCCTCTCGTCTTCACCATCACAAGTGTCAATATTGCCCACAGGGATTTTTGTTTTGTTTTTGTAATTACACAGAAATGATTAAAATGAGTTTCCTCTCCAGTTTAGAGTCACTGAAGCCATCCTGTGGAGGTGCTTCATCCAGACAGGTCAGACTCAGAATGTCCAGAGTCACACAGGCCTGAGGAGGGTTTAAACCTCCTGAGTCTGTGTGTGGTGAGTCATAATACCAATATCTTAAACTCAAATTTTATTTCAGAAATTTGATACAACAAGATAATAAAGAAACTACTTTTTAACAAAAAATAAAACATGCTATCTTTAGTTTGGTTAGTTTTAGTATTGACTAGTACCTGTATGTCATTTGTACAGATAAAATAAATTTAACTTTTTTACCCCAGTGGAGCAGTTCAGATACTCACAGATAGGGGTG